AGATGCAAGCGAAGAAAATATGAGACAGCTATATGACACAACTAGAAACTAGCGGGAAATATAGTAAACGTGAGAGACCGGTCAAGAACTGAGAAGGCATGACAATCATCGAGATTCATTAACAGAAGAAAAGATGAGTAGAATAATTCGAAGAACTTCGGAATAGACCAGCTCCATTGGATCCACCGGATATCAATGTAGCAAACACAGACTTTCCTATAGATGTCACTCAAACAACGATGGAATATAGCAGGATGACCGGCCATCAGACGAATGAAGAACGAGAAAGCAACAGGACCTGAAAATATACCAGCTGATGCTCTATCTCATACATACCATCATATGAAGATGAAGACAACTGGTGAAGCAGAAGCCTCTGCATCAGTGAGCCTCAACATAAACAGAGGAAGAATCAAGATCCTCAAATACAACATGGAGAGCACCAATGCAATCACATTTGATGGAGAAACATTGGAAGAAGTGGAAACTATCACGTAGCTGGTCAACACCATCGATGAATAAGGAGGGTTTGACGTAGACATAAATGTGAGGATTAGCAAAGCAAGGACAGCATTTCTACAGTTGAGGAACATATAGAACTCAAAACAACTGTCAACCAATATCAAAGTGAGAATCTTCAGTACGAACTTCAAGACAGTTCTACCGTAGGGAGCTAAAACTTCGAGAACTACTGCAAGCATCGTCAAACATGTACGAGTATTTATAAACAATTGTCACATTAGATACTGAATGTTCTTTGGGGGATATAATCAGCAACAGCCTACTGTGGGAGAAAAACCAGGTTCCAGCTGAGGAGGAAATTATGAAAAGACGTTGGAAGTGGATAGGATATATATTACGGAAATCACCAAACTGCATCACGAGGAGAGCCCTAACGTGGAATTCTGAATGGAAACTGAAAAGTGGCAGGCCGAAGAACACACTGCATTGGGAATCGGAAGCAGACATGAAAAGGGTGAATAGTAACTGGGAAGGATTTTCCAGAATAGAGTTGTATAGAGAGTGCTGATGTGCGGCCTATGCTCCTCTACGAAGTGTAACAGCTGTAAGTATTTCAACCTATTATTAGTAGAATTTCGTAAAAAGAATTATCCGTTCTAAGTGGATTTATTGATTGGATATATGTTGATTCTTTCTGTCACAGTTTCAATCATAATTATATTAAATATGTTTTATTGAAATGTCACTATTTTATTATGGTAATCCCTGGTATTTTCTATAGCTATTCCAGATAGTGTTCAGTGTGAACCAATTCATGTTAGGTTTAATACCTAATTAGTTCAGAAATTCCGTTATTAATACACCAGTATACAACAGGAATATAAACAGCCTCCAGAAATATGTAACAAAACATTTGGATGAGGTAACTCATTGAGTTAGAGACTTTCATAGTTTATTGGAACAACAATTTGCTTTATTACATTGATGTCTTATCTACGTCTCAAAAGAGGTCATATGAAAACTATTTTGGAGTTATAGTTTACATTTATTATACGGAAGAGATATTACTTCTCAACTCAATATAGTGTTAAAATGAGAAGATTCTGATCCTGGAATGATCATTCTGGGTGGTCGGTGATTTTGCACAGCTATATATTGATAGTCAATTTACCAAATTTAATTAAATCAGTCAGTATTGTGACACCAATTACAGTTACTATTTGTATTAGGAATTCCAAATAAGTAGACTGACACCAAGAGATTAACAGAAGACAATACCTGAGAATTTTGAATTTGGTGTGTTTGTATGAAACATGGACTTGAAATTGAGGAAACGTTAAGTTCCGACAGAACTTAACCTATTGTTTTCAAGATATAAACATTGATATAATCTTGTTTGATTGTTGCATTCATATGAAAATTTCAATTATTTCGTCAAACCATCCTACTTTAAACATATACATTTCGATAGCACTAACTTAGTGATGTTAGTGAAAAAATATAGATCTTAATTAACTTCGTATATATTTTAGTGGCTTGGGATCTGACTCCAAATAGATCGTTTCTGATTGTTATCGAATGATTGCTGTCAAAATATGCATCCTGGTTACCCTCGTATATAACCATCGACTTAACTCGCGTTAGTGAATAACGGAATTAAATAAGTCATATCCAAGATTGGATTTCGAATATGTATATTTTATACAATCATTGATCTAGACAAACGATCGAAGAAACGAAGCGAAATCATGCGCGGTGGAGAGGGAATATAAGCTAATTCTATTTAACCAAGCCTTAATCGATAGTTATAGTTACACAAAAATAAGTTACAGACATGTAACGAATAAGATAAGAAATGCACTTGCATACGCTTATATAAAAACAGTCAAGTTGATAAGCGAGTAATTAACTAGGTCAAAATGTATCTCAAGAAGAATGAATACATTGGCTTGTCCGGAAGCTCGAATATGTTGTGTTGGTTTAACATAGCAACCGATATTACATTATTCTGTCAAATGATCACGTTAGTACAAAGTAGGAATAAAAATCTAATATAAAGAAGAGTTTATAATACGCATATTTTGTATATTTCAATATTAAGCGCCGGATAAATGGCAAAATTTGCGGTGAATAAATAGAGCGTGTAATTTGGTAACACATCAACTCAGTTTTTATGTGCGATGTACGGAGTACACTTAAGCAGATAGACACATTCGTACTTTCATCCACCCATATATAAAAACGTTCAGGGTTAAAAGTGAACATTTAAAAAGTTCAAATATATGGTTTATAGAATAACCAACGACATAAAAAATTATTCACCAATTCAGAAGCTAGAATAATCTCATGTGGGCATTACAAAAATCACTATAAATATCCTGATCTTAACGAAATCCCCTACTCAATACTGTCAAGATCTTATGAACTGCTATCTTGTTTATCTGAAACAGAAGATATGACACTATCGAATCTAAAAGAAGACAAAAAAAAACAATTTCTCTTCAGTATTAGTCAAAGAATTGTGTATTGATTAACATTGAAGTAATCATGACCAATTAATTCACTGTTTAATAGTTATTATCATCAAGACTGATTCAGACTGAGTTCTTTTTACCACTTACTAGGATAGTTATATGTACAATAAACATGAAAAGAATCAATTTATGATTAACATACACCTAAAGATTATATTGTAATGAAAACAAATACACAACTAGTTATGTTCTCTTGAAGCCACTAAAACTGTGTCTAACTGGCAAAATGACAATGTTTAGACTAATATTGAACAAAATTATTTAGAATAGCTTTTAAAAAGTCCATTCTAATGAAGTAGTCAAATTCTAAACATTAGTAAAATAATAAGAAGGAAAGTTTCCTTAAAGATTTCTATAAATTAAAATACAGTAAACAAAATTAGTCAGCAAACAAACTGTGAAAATCACAATATGCCTGTAGGATTGAAAAAAAATCGATAGAAACAATGTACCCCTTATCATGTCAGAAAATTATGAAATATTGATTTTGACTAAATTGTCCATCTTTATCACGCATATCTCTTTTGTAGAGTGAATTCGAAAAAACACAACTCAGATTGAGATTTTCACCATCTCGGGGTTATTTTTTATTCAAACTTATTTTACTTACAATCCTATTATGTCTTAAAACGTTTCTACAATTGATTTGGTTGGTATTATGATTTAATAAGATTATATTACGAAACTGTATAATTCAATAGATAGTTAGATTTGTTAAAAGTTGATATCAGCTAGAAAAAAAATGCATGGAAATTTGCAAAGTTGTTTTGTGTTCGCTTGAAAAATTCCATTCACACATGATCTGCAGGCTTAACAATGAGTATAACACCACTGAGCTATTCAACTGGAATCAATTAGTCCACTTCGTTTAATTTGTGATATTTTGATATCTCCAATCTATATGATCGGTTAGGTAACTGTTATGACTTTATGTCCAGCTTTTTACCACGTAATTTATCCACCAATCAAAATACGACTTATACAATCTTCGCACTGTGCCAAACCAATGACGTTTGACTGGTATGGTTCTAGCCCGTCCACTTGAGTCCAGAACACCAATACCAGCTCTCACTATGCGAATCATATATTTCAAAAATACTGGGTTTATATATCAATCAACCATAAAATAGGGAATAACATTTGTACACAATAAAGCCGAAAATGGCTGTGAACGTGGGAGGCAGTAGTCAATAAAATGAACATAGCTTGAGAACAGTAAGTCGTACAATAATAAATTATAAGTCAAATAAAGCTTATAATAAGAGGAATGTAAATATACATAATCTAATTATTGAATAGTTATACCATAAGAATGTGTAGATAATATTAGTCAATTAATATATCTCAAAGTTACTCGTGATTTAATCTTCGCTCGGATATAACAGTAACCGTATAAGTCATGATATTCTACTAAGATTTCAAGAAATCCATCTGAAAGTTACTCAGGAGTGAACACAATTATAATTGGGTAGATGATGTTGTGGAAACGTTTTACATATAGAAAATTAATTTTCATCATAAATCGATATTACTAGTAGAATCTTAGAGAATTTGCACGATTGATAATCGAACCACTAGTTCAATTGTATGTTCTTCGTTGCCCTATTGACAATTCCTAAGCTAAAAAAAAACATTTATTCACTAGTCTCCAATATTTAGTGATTCAACAATTCATGATAAAAATCATCTTCAAATAACAATAAACTTAAATAACAAATGACAAGAGAGAAAAATTTAATTGAATAAAACGCCTCTAAATTAATTATTGAAATATTGGGAACCCGTAAAATTTTGAACAGCAAATATCCAGTTTGAAAATACACATTATAATTTCAATATTGCTAATTTGACACATTTTTTCTTTATGCTCACATACACAGAAAAATATGTATCACATATAAAAATCCCAGTTAATCTAGGTATGTAACATATAGAGTAGGTTTTTGTTTCAGCAGTTAAATAAAACAACAAATAAAAATGTAATGGAATTCAACTACGTCAAATAAAACTCATTAACAACATTTATTTATCCTTTAATGATTAATGGACTAATAATTTAGATGTAACTGTAAAATGTAAATTGAAAATTGACAATATATAATACAAATATGCCAATTGTCAAACTGATTAATATATATCAGCATAATTTATTAGTTATATTAATTAATTTGAATTAACTTACAGTCTAATCATACTTCATAGAGAGAGATATCAAATGTAAATTAATTTATTTATAAAATTTAGTGTATTTATCTTAAATAATTGATAAGTGTAGGAAAAGATCAAGGAGTATTGACCATTCATCTGATGATTGAAACGAATTTTTTTCTCTAGCTTTTTCTGGATATTCAAATAACAAAACAAAATTCATTTTGTGTGTGTGTGTAATTTTCCAATTGATTACTAAATGATACGTGAAATAAATGAACAACACGTACATAATAAGATTGTAGATTGTATACACTAGGCTATAGGGGAAAATTTATAGCGTGATGATTACAGGTTTGTACAGTCCAATTAAACTATAACTTATATCAGGGTGCATTAATCAACTACCTTAAAAATATGGAACTCAATATACAGAAACAAAATGTGAACATTCATAAATTACTACTTCATTACGAAGTACATTGAAGTAAACAATACATTCATAATAACTGGAAACATCTATTTAAAAATAAATAAATAAAAACAATCTTTTTGACGGTTGATTTCTTTTTTTTTTTAAGAATAAAATTTAATACACATGAAGTACAATGAGAAGAAAAAGAAATTTTTCTGAAAAAAAATGTCACTCTATAGAAATTTGTAAAAAGAACTAATTGCTTCAAACATATGAAGTACACAGAATTCATGATTACTAAGAAATAAATTCAAAAAAATATTTATCGTACAATAAAAATCAAAACTATAGAGTGAAATGAATTAATGTAAATAATGAAGGAAATGATGATGATGAAATAAGAAATCAACGAGACTATACCGTTTTTCACTAACTTAACAGTTTAAAATAATGAAAAATCTATACATGATTTGATACCGGATGATAAATTTACAGAATTATACAGGGCCGGGTTAATATATTTTAAATGATAATTCGTTATAAATATTCATTTTATTGAATTGTTGATTATAACTGTCTATTCAAATGAGACTGTCTAAAAATACATTAGCGTTGATGCTCGTAATGTTACAAAGTCCTGATTGTCTTTTTATGCATAAAAAGACCGGTGAAACAGTATTGTAATAAGAAATTGAATTAGCTTTGCAGTTTGATTGTGTAAGAAATGATTTGAATAAACTTTTATGACTAATAATCATGTGAGTATATATATCATACAGAAATCATGATTATCTTTTAATGAGAAGTATTACTTTCATATTTCAATCCCTTTTGTTCATCAACTGTTATATGCCCATCTTCATAAATTCTCGAGTTTGATTCATCTGGTGTTGGATAACATGAAAATACACTGGCAGCTATGTTGTTATAAACATCATCGTTTATTATACGTTCATTAACTATTTCTCTATCATTATTTTGATCAATATGATTTTCATTTTTAGTTACAGTAATCATACCTTGCTCTGGTTCTATTCGTAAATTACGTGTATATTCAATGGGGAAATAATCTAAATAAAAACATGCACCATTCCATATTAGCGTTAATGTTTGAATAATTAACATAGATGCATGGAATAGATAATTGCACCATGCAACAACAGCAACTAACAGGAGAATTGTAGACAGTATGATACTGCAAGCTATCCAACTAATCAAATGCCATCTAGTGTATAAATGAATAAAAATTAAATAGAGATATTAATACGGTACAGAAATGAGTATTCAGTTGGAAATTAAATTATTATAGGTAAAAATAAAATCAATATTTATTTTCTTATTTGTATCAGGTACCTACGCTTCATGCCACTCAGAATTCATCAGCAAAGCATACTTACGATCTTGATAGAGATATCGCCTTCATTAGGATTTGAACCGACATCACCCACCTTCACATTACGGGAGGCGATACATCATCGAACTATTCGGATAAAGACTGGCCACCTTCTAAAAAAAGAATCATCAGGTTACAAGTTTGAACTCGATTTACTTCGGAAACCGGGTGGTGTCACTAACTAAGCAACACAGCAAGTAAATAGCCTGAATAACAATTTCTCGCAGTTTGCCTCATACATCTCTCCCTTTTAAATACATACAACTTGATTTTCATTTGATAACATATATTAGTTGATGTTATATATTTGTCTGACTAGCTTGATATACTATTCCTGTATCACTGGAAATTAAATAATAATCTAAAGCATAGCTACTTATACATAGCGCAATTTATAAATATGCTACTAGAACACCGAGAATAAAATAATTGCGATAACAATCTGTATACTAGATTCAAATTAGATTTAATTTATATGAAAAACAATAGTGTTAACTTAAACAAGTAAGTATAGCACAAGGCCATTGAAACTGATGATTAAAGTCATTCCTTGTTACGAGTTTCATTGAATTAAATTAAAAAATTCTTTCTTATTTGAGTTTTAAAAAGTTAATCGTCCTACAATCAAATATCCTCTTAATATCCTAAGGCGTAACCGTGGTAATTGTAAATCAATGAAAGTTTAAGAGAAAAATATTATTGGTGAAAGTGTTGTTAATTAATAAATTGTTTTGTAGCGAACGTAACTAAAGATTCATAATGATTTATTCAACAAAGATCAAGTGAATAGTCTCAAACAGAGTCAACATATATAATGTTCATTTGTGGTTATATGTTAAAAATCTAATTTGGAGAATCCTTACTAAACTGATAAAAATTATCTAATGGAAGATTTTATAAGTACAAGATACAGAATCTCATATTTTAATTGACAATTAACACTAAGAACAAAAACTTTTTTAATCTTAGAGATATTTTACTACCCTGTTACTGCATATTGAAACAGATAAAGATTATAAGTTATGATATGGTATTACAACTAACAACTGCATCCTATTTAAAGCTTAAGACAATTGAACAATTAATTGCATTTTTCCGAAGTCATAATTAATGTTTATGAAACTAGTAGATTGAAAATAAAACACTTCATTTTCAAGTGTAGTCATATGTATGTCTACTTGAAACACATACCTGTTACAACTGTAGGATAAAAAGAACATTGATCGGCGAAAGCCTCTTAGATCGTTCTTTTTGACATTTATCATAAATAATCTTTTAGTTAACTGTAAAAATAATTAATGACACTGAAACATTTTAGTAATTCTGTTTTTACTGTATTACAACTACAATGTTATAATAAACTACCTATAGACTAGAAAAAAAAACTCCCTATATAAAGGGAACCCTCTGATGGTTCAAGTAATGTAGTTTATAAACCATGACAAATATTAATAACATCGTTTTGAACATTAAAAAGAAGTAACATAAGTAGTAACAGTAACGATAACAATAATTACTAGTAATAATAATAATAACAGCGATAAAAAATAAATGAAGTGATATAAAAATAAAATTTAGTAAAAACTTTAACCTCTTTCCTATCCTTTAAACATGTTAGACTGTCTATATTGGATGACAAATGAATAATAAATAAAAACAAAAACTGCATAATCTTGAATTATATTAGATAAAAATAATTATGATCGTATCTTAGGTGATTTCACGTGTTAAGTGATAATACACTAAAACTAGCAATTAACATAATCTTGTTTGATTGATCCTATTGTTAACCTAATCCAATAAATTTTTTATTCCTATTTTTCTGTTATTTATGTACATTACAACAAATAATACTGATCACATTTATTATTATTGATTATTTCTACGATCTATAATAATAAATAAATAATATATTTGTAATATCCCAATGAGTAGAAAAATTAGATTTTCTGACGTTTCATGACTTAGTGTAAGCCACTTCTTCAGAGAATTTATAACCACATTAAAATTAATCCAAGTTGAAATAGTACTATTTGTACTATTGTACTATTTAAACTTGGATTAATTTTAATGTGGTTATAAATTCTCTGAAGAAGTGGCTTACACTAAGTTATGAAACGTCAGAAAATCTAATTTTTCTACTCATTGGGATATTAAAAATATATTAATTTATTTATAACAATCTACTCAATGCTCAATTTAACCGAAATTATCAAGTCAAACTTTGGTAATGAGATCTATAATAACGTTGATTTAGTCATTAAGATAATTGAAAATTAGAATTCATATTTATTAATGTCTATTAAACATTGTTATAAATGATGGTGTTCTTATGTTAATTGATACATTCACATATTACAAATGTTACAATAAGATTTGATGTATTAAATTTTCTTGGATTGTAAAATTTTATATATTACTGAACTGACTATTAAAGGTGAAATGAAATTTAATGATCTTGATATATTGTTGGTAATGATTCAATAATTTGAAATCAGATGATTAGTTATGGAAGTTGCACAATAAATAAATAAACTGTTAGTCTTGATATTGGGGACTGTTGGGCACTAATAAATGGACTAAGGAGCGAAACACTATCATATTTATTGAACTATTGGTATTTTCATTTGATTCTGAAATAAAAGATGTATCTAAATATCAATAACAATGTATATTTCTGGTTTACTGAACTACAAACAACACTACCATGAACAGGCTATTAATAAGCTCTCCAAATCACAATACATACAAGAAAGTTTTTAAGCTGTTAACTCATAAAAGTCGCAGTGTTAAGGTTTTTAAATTACAAACAATTGTGTATCCAGTGTTATATAATAGGTAGTAACCATAATTTGCTATAGTAATCAGGAAATAATAACAACATCTAGACACAAATAAGCAACTTGACTAGCAGTTATATCTCAAAACTACAAACAGACAATTATACATTCATTATCTCAGTTACGGTGAGTGCATAAGACTAATAAACATCAATCAAACGAGTCTTCTGGCACAAGTTAACTAGATAAGGGGTGAAGCGGTGGCTCAGTGGTTGAGGTATTTGGCTCTAAGTCACTAATTGAACAGTTTGAACTTTATCTATTTCGGTTTGGGTGACCGGTTAGTATCATCAGATCACATGCTTAGATTTTACCTCCAAGTTAAGTGCATGAATCCGTACTTGGTAAATGAGTTGAATAAACTGAATAAAATTGAGAAATTATGCAACAATAAATACACGTGCATAATGTCCGAAAAATCAACCACAACTACATAAACATTTTGTCTTACATTTCATGGTTTGGTAGTGCCAAATAAGAGTTGTTGACAGTTTGTAATAAGAAATACTTCCCAGTTGTACTGTACCAAAAATCCTATATATATCACACCACCGTAATAGTTAAAGTAACACATTTATATATTATATATATACCATATATATGGTATGTATATGATATATATATATATATATATATATATATATATATATATATATATATACTTACCGATCACCAATATATTTCCAGAAGAAACGCCATAGAATTTTCTTTTTATGTAAATATCGGAAACTATCTAAATAATCATCACTGGGTTTGACAATTCCATAAATTATAGTATAATATAGCATCTAATAAAAAACAATAAGAAGTAAGTAACAATGTCTAGTTATAAAGTTATTTATCAATAATACACCACTACACCAACTAATACTTCGGTAAAGTATGAACGGAAATATGAACATGTTGATGTCGTTATTTTGGTCATACACATTACTATTTGACAAGTATTTTTTTTAGATTAATGTGTAAGTAAATGTTTGATTCAAAGATCCTCCCATACAAGAAAATGTTATAAAAGTTTGTAATTGACTGACATCACGACACAATTATTGAAACTACTCTAGACTATGAAAACAGTTGGTTGCCAAAGAATGATGAAACAGCATACACAATAAAAAAATTTACTTGTGCTGTATGTATTAATTACAATAAAATAATATCACTGTGTTCAATTATTTAAACGAATTTCTTCTGCTTAACTACATATGTTTATACTGTCAGATGATACAGCCAAATAATTCAAATGCAATCTAAACACTACTAACGCGGTTACACTGATCATTTAAAAAACATCCGAAGTGAATATAAATAAATATATTCCAATAACAAAAAAATCATATGGATGAATATGCAAATAGTTTATTTTATAATACAGAAATGTTTAAAGTTTCCACAGCAAAAGAACTTAACAAATTTCCATCAATTCAGCTAAATCAAGAATACATGTATAATTTTCTCTTTAAACTTACCTTTCCTATGATCAGTTTTTTAAAAGGTGGTAAAACGCCTAAATATATTAAACACTCAATCCGATTTCTAACCCTAACCTTGAGCACCTAATTTTATTTTCACTATTAAATTAAATCAACCACGCTCAACAAGCAAAGTTCTGCTTCGATATGTGCCTTGTAACCTAGAAGCAACTCGCTCCTACCTGACTCACCCTTATAGATCAGTTTTATCTAAAAGATGTAACATTTATTTGCAAAAAGATTCAACCATCAGATGATGAGGAGTATAGATATATGTACGGACCATATGTATTTGACTAAATTGTTGACGCATTCTTAGAAAACGCTATCAAAATGTTCTTTTACGAAACATCTAATGTAACACATGTACTACCATCAAGTTTTTGTATCCCCATAAAACAATTATTCACAAAATACTTAAATTTCCAATGCAGTACATCTTTTATATACATTCATTTTTCTCTTACCCTTATTTTTTATGGCTTACTCCATTGAATGAGTAACTGACTATAATTTTCATTACAACATACTGCATTTGAATGATTTTCGACCCCAAATATGTTACTACCACAACTGCTGATCGTCAATTTTCAATAACATGCGCTCCATTCATACTGAATACTGTTGGGTTAGAATATGTGAAACTATACCCTAGATATTTAAATTTTCGACAATATCAGATGTCTTACATTCACATTAATCCAGAATAGGGGTTGTCATAGAACGCTTTAAAATGGTGATGAACATGTTCGATGTTCCAAAAAATCGTCATATACTCGAAACTTATATCATACTATACTAAATTTATTTGTCCTTTAGTCAAATTTCATGCATTTTTCTTCGTTTTAATCTCTTTGAAGCCGTCGAATGTCACCATTTCTCTCACTAGGTTTAATTTGTTAAGTGATTGCCTAATTTTTAGGAACCAGAAATACTGATAAAGAAGGCTTATAAGACTAGATCATCTTTGTGGATTAATTAACTTCACAGCACTTAATTCCATTTCTAATCATGAGAGGAATAAAAGTATCAACAGTCCAACTTGAATTGTGGTCAATACTTCGAGATGTATCCGATTACAGAGCACTGTACATAATGTCTTGCTACTTTTCTTGCTTGCTGATTGAAAATATGAAATAGTGTAGTTTGACAGTTTAACCTCATTTTAATCAGTCAGTAAGAGCGATGAGACAGAAAGTGAAAAATTACTGGTATATAAGAAAGGGATAAACACAAAGAATATTCAAAAAGAGGAAACTAAAATGTGTAATTCTTACCTACCTCACGTACGAAATGGAATAAAGTAGGAGCTGCAACAAGCCAGAACCAGTCGATATTTTTATTCCAGGACAACAATTCTAGAGAAGCATGGGAATCATATAAGTTGGTATACCACCAAACTGATGTTTCCGATGGATGCCACCGAATTCTATGAATGTAACAAAAAGAATTATTTCGAAAAATGAAAAACATATGACATTAACAATTAGCTTACTGTTTCTGGACTGTTATAAGCTTAAATCCTAAACTTAAGACGTGTGTGAGCATATGTATTAAACTGAGATCGATGCCATTATTCCAAATATTTCTGGATCGTTCCCAAAGCGTTTAGTAATTGTTTCATTCAAACAGTTGTGTCATCTACACTAGTAAATAAATGAGTTATGTTAGAGTATCTCTGCAAAGTCAAGAAAAAAAATTTAACCATGCAATCATATTCTTGACGAAAGCGTTTAGGCATGAGGAAAGTCCGTAGCCCTAATAAACACTGTTTGTTGAGATCAATTTAAAGGACAGTTCACCATCAGTTCTGACCTCACCAGTAGTGTACGTAAAATTGATTTTTAGTAGACTGATATGACTTCTACAATGTGACTTTCAATAAAAATGTTTACATGAAACCTTCAGTCAAAGGAGCCATATGACGCCGTCAAATCAAGAAGCATTACTACAGTAGAGTCAATACGTTTGCATAAATTATGGGACCTATTAAAAAGTTACAGTCGGGTTTTCATATTCACGACCAGATCTGGAACCTGCTGGCTGCTTTTGTGTTTGCTATTTTCAAGACAAATTTAGGTGCCTCATGAGTGTCGGCTAACACCTTATATATCATATTGACTGGTTGATGCGCTGTGATTACGACAAGGCGATCCTTTTTCTTTCTTGTGAAATTGGATAATTTATAGATAGGGTTAGTTAGACAGGATCATTACTCCCTTTCACACTAAAAAATCACTAAAATACAACTCTTGAGCCAAAATCGCTATCTTTTAAGAACCCTCAAAATAAATCTTCACACACTTCAGTCTAGTTAAATCTTAACTGGATTTATGTAGAAAAAGCCGAGAATAGTTTCGATTCCAGTCATCAAGAAATCATAAAAACAGTATGGGGTAAAAACCCATGGAACGCAAATATATCGTATCAACTGAAAACACACTAACAAACCGAAACTTGCAAGAATGAGAAAAGGGCAGGCGAGACGTGTATAAAACACGAAGTAAGTCTTTGGATGTCGTGCAGAGCAAGGGTGTTACGGAACAGAAACGCCCCACCGAAAGCTAGAGAATTGGCAAGACCAAAGTGGAACAACTGCATGGCGTGCGAGTGCGGCAATAACCTGTGAAATACAAATATTAGTACAAACACTAACCAGATGAAGATCAATGACACAAAGTTGATAAAGTAGCATGGGTCCAACATGAACAATAAATATTTATTTTTCCTAAATCTGTCACCCATAATAGTCAAACGAGAGGTACCAGTAGTTGTAAACTCTCAGGAGGTATAAAAGGATGAAAAGAGAAGAGAAGCTGTATAACACAAGTGCCGGTCTGATAATAGCGAAACACATTGTAGTAAGAATAACAGACATTGCTCCAACAAAGCACAGCTTCTCACAAAGTTTCATCTGGAACAAAAATTTAGACGACAAGAAAAGTTTGCAGTTCTGAAGTAGGTTTATTATAATATGTAGTTAACACACAGTTATGTGCATCACCTACTCCTTGACTCTTTGCAACGCAACCAAACGCAGCGCCACAGACATTTGCGCGATAATGACCTGAAGGTGCATAAAAATGACGTAATATAAGTATAGTTTTGCTTTTGCAGCTAACTGGTAAAAAATAGTACAAAGTAGGAAGAATAGGGAAATTAAATTTAAATTTAATCAAAAATACCTTAGAAGATATTTAAGAAAGACAAATGTTCGAATGGTTCAAATGGTTGTGGACGGAATAGAAGGAGCTTTCGCCTAACGGGCTCCCATGTCTAGTAGCGATGGACCACCAATACATCCAGCAGGAACCTGGAAATATTACCGATAATAGAGGAAAAAGAAATCGGTAAATCATAGTAAGACACTGTCCTTAGTCCTGAAGAATAGGTCAAGTTTCCTCTTAAGGGACTCCTAGGAAGTCTCTTGGACTAGCTCAACCGGCAGCGAATTCCAGCATTTGACAACTTTCAAGGAGTCGAAGTTCTTCCATGTTGTGTCTCCAGTTTCTGAGTGTTACCTCTTAGGTTTGTGTTGGAGCTAAACTTAAGTAGGTGTTTAAGGGGATGTCCAGAAGTGTTAAGGATACTGTGAGCCATCAGAAGATCACCTCTAAGACGCCTGTACTATCATGGGTAAAGGTTTAGTGGTTGAAGGTGCTCTTCATAAGGCTTGAATTTGAGTCCACGAACTGATTTCGTGGCCCGCCGTTGGATAAGCTGCAGAGTGTCCTTATCCTTTTGAAGGGGGGAAATACTACATTTCCGTACTCTAAGTGGTGACGAACAAAACTGTTGAAGATTATGTGGAAAGTTCTTCCGTCAAACTGGCCAAAAATGCGCCTCAATGTTACCAGTGCAAGGTTCGCTCGAAAGGTATTTTTGTCAGTTTGCGTAAAACTTCAGATCATAGGGTACCAGCACTCCTAAATCTTTTTCAACTTTAAATATTTCTAGAGGGGAGTTGCCTAAGTTGTAACTGTAGTCTGCAACATGTCTCAGGTGGACTACTCTACATTCTAAAGTGTTAAGGTTAAGTCCGTTGTCATACCTCCTGAAGTGCCAGTATATTCTCTCGGTTGCGTATCACTCCCCAGAGTTTCACATCATCAGCAAAAAGTAATAGGTCAAACGATACTTGTTATGGATGACCGCGTATATAAATCAAGAGAAGAAGAGATCCTAGTACTGGACCCTAGTGAACCCCACTAGAACATTTCATAGTCTGAGATAAAGTGAAGTTAACCCTGACCCTAAAATGTCGACTTTTCAATTATGAATTGAGCCAATCAATTAGAGGTGATTTGGTACCTAATCGTTTGAGCCTACTAGTAAGACATATATGGTTGACCCTATCCAAAGCTTTGAAAAGCCAGCGTAAATGATTTCAACCTTACCCTTGCGATTGAGGATGGTTTTCCATCTGTCCACCGCAGTCAGCAGGTTAGTAATACAAGAATGCTCCTTTCTGAAACCATGCTGCTGGGGTTAAACGAAGTCTAAGGATAACAAATAGTCGTGTATACCATCGTGTATCAGGGACCCCATAATTTTTGAAGGTATAAAGAGAAGAGCCACCGGTCGGTAACTTGAGGGTTCACTGCATCGACCTCCTTTGAAATTTCCGGTAGCTTGCCTCGGCTTAGCGATCAAGAGAGCATCACGCCAATCGTTGTTGCCAGGATTGAAGCTGCTTCCCTCATTATAGCAGAATAAAGCATATCCGGGTCAAGAGAAGTTTCTTTTCTTTAGTTCTGCAGTTTCTAGAAGACAAAGTCAGAGCTCATGTTCACTTCGGAATGTCCTATGCAAATGCGGATGAAGCTTTCATCAATATAGTTGACGTGGGTTGATTGAATTGTCCGAGAGTATTGTCCAGCCAAAAGGTTAGCGGCGTCACCATCGTTGTCGGTCGGGCAGTTAGGACCTAGCGGTTGAGAAACTCCAGTCTTGTCTTGTCTGAGAGAGGCTGCATGACGGTTTGAGACTCCAGCGCCTGTTGTTGGTGAGACATCTTGGCTCAGAAAGCTATGACGGCGTGACCGCGTTTCCCCAGGAGAGCCAGAATTGAGAGGTTGTCAACTAGGAATTCTTCCTTTGTAAATACCCAGTCTAAGCGCGATGGTGTATGGCTGTTGCTCCAATGAATTGCCGACTTCACATTTTCGAATAATCCCAGATCCTCAATGAGGCTGAAGAACCGAGCTTCAGTTGAGTTTTCACCTCCTATGTACGTATGTTCCACAAAACTGACTTTAGGAAGATTGAAGTCCCCTAGAATCAGGATATGAGTAAATTCGAGACTCGCGGAGCGGGATAATCCTTCCAGCATACGATTGTCGTACACGATGTCAGCAGTGGGCTTCATGTAGGTGATCCCAAATAGACACCACAAGGTTGTGGCAATCTTACTGAGCACTATGCGGATTCATCAACAATGATAAACTCCTGGTTGTAAACTTGGTGTACCTTCAGGCATGATCGTATGTATAAAGCTATTCCACCCCTCATTCTTTTTTTCTATCGTTGCGAAACAAAGGTATCTCAGGTATTGCTAGCTCCTGGTCCTTAAACTGAGAAGATAGCCAAGTTTCAGATATTCCTATCAGATGAGCATTATCACCACTGTTAATTCACGTAGCTCATCCATTTTATTTGGTAGACTCACATCGTTCATGTTTAAGCATTTATTGATTTCAATTTGAAACGCGTAAGCCTCTCCCTCCTGTTTGTCTGTATGAGCCTTACGTGAATGAACAGGTAGCCTACCTATACAAGGTTTTCCGAGTTCATACCCCTGTCCTTTGCACGTATTTTTATCAAGACAGTCCACAAATGGAACGATCGGCTACAACTTGCCTTTGTGCTTGATCCTGGCGTCATGTGGCATATCCGGATGCATATGGATTCCACTTGGCAACAGACGTCTGTTGGCGCGAAATGTTTCCAGAGTTACAGCTGCCATACAGGCGGATGGGAAAGTTATGTTCATTAGCCGGGGTCTAGAATCTCAGCCCTTCTTGGCTAGTCTCGTCACATGTTCAGTCAATATGTTTTTGAGCTTCAGTGATTGTTTGATTAAATTTCCATTGCCTAATATCAGAGTTTGTTTGACCGGGGTTGGCGTTTTCGGTACGCCTTGCACAATGATATTTCTTCCGCCAAAAAACTTGCAAGATTCCTTAGGGATGTTCCGGATGAGATTGCGCTCAGAATATGGCATGTCAAGCAGTATTCTAAAGTTCATATTTGATTCCAGTAAGTGACTAACTAGTAGGATATCTTTTAAGTCGGTAGCATTCATGAGTATTACACGAGATAGCGTCGGTGGATTTTGATGCTTAGAGTCCTTTCCACAAGTGAGCCGTGTGGCCGTCAAAGGCTATAGTCTGGGAAGTTCTAGCTTCTTGTTTAACTCTCCCCAGAGCATACTGTCATTTTTGTCCTGCTAACTGAGGGGGATGTCAGGGTCGTCTTTAAGGTTCATGATTATGAGAGAGTCGTCACGAACCGTGTCATCACTAGTGCTACTGCATGCTTCATCGATAGTAGAGCTTTCAACACCCCTCTTCTTGTTATCATTGCGCTTCCTTGTTTGTCTACCCGTTTTATGACTTTCTTTTTCCAAGTTTGCCGACTTATTCCGCAGACCTGTCAATAAGACATGACTTTACTCAGCAAAATTTCAGCATCCACGTTGCACATGGCACATACCCAAATATGATCACACTTGCTGTGAGATCTGTTAATGGTTCATGGAACTAATCTTTTCAGTTGTCACACTGCATGCCAGATGTAACAGCAAGACGGCATCCAGTCGTTTGTATGAATTTTTCATGACTATATTGACGTACACTGTTTTATAGATGCTAGCAAAAGCTTGAGATCGTTGAAAAACAGTACACTAAAAACGGGCCAAAGTGGATAAAAACGAGTTAGGATAAACTGAGACTAGCCTTTACATGAAAAACTGAAAAAAAAACGAATGAAATGTCAGTTTCGTACGTTGAAGTTTAGAAAAAGTAGAGATAGGCTTCTATATGGCCTTAGGAATAAAACGTTGCAAACCAACTCGGCTAGATTATACTGAGATTACTTATTTGCATCCAGCTCCAAATAGTTGATTATTTATTTTTTAACAAAAAATCCCCAATCCCTTTTCACTTAATATGTCTTACTTCTGTCTTAAGACTGGTAAACCTTCTATTTCATTGTGGTTAAGATGTTGTGGAGTACAAGATTCTTAGAAATAGCAAAGTCCTTGAGTGCTTGAACTCAAATACATTTGTTAGGATGTATGGAACCCAAACCAGGAATGCACTTAACTCGTGTTGCACTTTTTAACTTTTCGTTAGCTACGTTTTCACCGAATTCAGAATGGAAAAGCAATTAAGCCATACTCCTCAACAAAACCTTCCCATTATAAGTCAGCTTCCTTACTTGTTTCATTAACTGAGATCATGGCGAGTTGTTTATTCAGATGAACTCAGAATAACAGATTTTCTGTAATATTCACAGGGTAAACGAATAGATCCCTTCTTTTTTCTCAATGGCACACTCTAGGCATCTATTTCACATGTCATTCCATGGAAGACACAGCTTAATACAACATGAGCATCGTGTATTCTAACTCTACGGTTATGTATATATATATATATATATATATGTCTTCAGTGTTCACTCGAGATCCCATTGTAATAATGTTATATCCAGACTAAGGTTTGGACTGATGGATAACTGTATCGGTAGATTAGATACGAGCCCTTACCCGGTTGAAACCAAAACAAAGTGATTGGATGAAATGACAGTTCTGAAATTCATTATAAATTCAAATGTACATTGTTACCTAAAGAAATATGACCACCCAGCTACTCAACCAATAATTCTTTTTAATCGATCAAATCTAAATTACAATAAATTAGGAAGTTGATAAGAGGATGAGAGAAAATTACCAGTCGCAACAAATAAATGCTATTCTATCATGTCTGGATAGATCACACACCGATCTGTTCAAAAAATAATGTTTGGTTGCTTTATAACACAGTGTTTCCAATTCTGGAACAGTGCTTCAGTTCGCATTCCCAGTCAATACAAGCAACACAATCGAAAGGAAGAGCAACCCAATATGGCTGCCGCCAAGACTAAGTATCAGGTAAAGTAACATAAATGCAATGCAGGAAGAAACATGGAAACTTAGTGAAGGCGTAAGAAAAATAAAACTATAATAAATAAAACTACTACCAACCCAAGTGGAATCAAAAAGACCAACAAATGTACAACCAAAAGAAACAGAAAGAACAAACTTCAAGTGTATACATGGAGGGATTTCCATACACAAAACTTCGAAATGATCTTACAATAACTTTTGGTATTTCGTGTGAATGTGAAAAATTTTCACCAAGTCACATTAATAACTATGACAAACTACGTTCTTTTGTATATTTCACGTAATAAATTTTTGGTTGCCTACATATAACAATTGTAAGATCCAAACTACGGTTTGGACTGCTAAATAGCCTTCCAGGTACGTTAGACACGCGCCCTTTCCCGTCGAAATCAAAACAAGTAATCGGGTAAATAGCGGTTCTATAGTTCATCATAAATTTAAATGTAAATCGTTACCTAAACAAATATTAACACCCGGCTATTCAACCAATAATTGTTCAATCAATAAAATCTAAATTAAAATAAATAAAGTAGTTGATGAATATGAGGGAAAATTACCAGTCACAACAAATGAACGTTATTTTATCCTGACTGGATAGAAACACACAAAAGGAGGAGCAAATCAATATGGCTACCGCCAAGAACAAGTGTCAAGTAAAACAACACAGATGCAGTTCGGGAAGAAACACAAACTTAGTGAATGCGTAAGAAAAGCATAAACTATAATAAAAAAATACAAGTATTAACAATTCAAATGTAATCAAAAGACAACAATGTACAACTAAGGGGATCAATAGGAACAAAGCACAAGTATATACATGGAGGGATTTTCACCAACACACAAAACATTCAAAATGGATCTTACAACAATATCAAAACACAAGTTCTATGTTGTAATAAAAAAACTAATAATATCTGAAAGTACAAAAGTGACTGTACTATTTATCAAACGGTTCCTCTAGCACAAAACTGCGCACTTCATGATTAAAAGATTTTTAAGGGTTATGATTGATAAAAACATTAAAATCATCAAGAATATTTGTAGCAGAATAATGTCAAACAAATATCCACAAGAGACTCAATAACAGTTTGTACCAAACTGCCAAGCAGTAAATGTGATCGACGGTTGTGTGTCATACCTTAATGTTCCGTTGGAGAAGAACCTAATATAATTACATGGTATCCAGTTCCGACAAAATTAAATAATAATAGCGAGCCTTGAAGGAAGTTGAAAAATTACCATCTTGTTAGTGAGGGAGGAGAAATATGAATGCATTTTGAATCACGTTCTGGGTCGAAAAATAATATCACTCAAGGAGAAAATCTAAAGGCATATTTATGACGTCAAATAAAACAGTTTGAAAGAAATTTTATTGTATTTCGCTCGTTATACTCAACGGGAAAACCTTTGTACAATGTTTCACAGCCTAATGAGGTCGGTGTATCGAAAAGTTTCTTTAGAAATGTAGGAAAGATTTTTATACTAAATAATGGGCCTACACAGTTTTTTTGAAAGCTTTTAGCTTACCTACTCTGAGGCTAAGAGGTTGTTAGCAGGCGGATAAAATTTATTTACGGTTCTCATAATTTCATCATTCCAACTGAACGCGATGATATGATATCAAAGTGAGCTACAGAGAAGATCCGTCCGGTAATAAACACGAATGAGCTTGAAGATGCTACTGATATTCGTAGTTTGACAACGGCTTTACCAGTAACATCTTTATAGCCGAAGAATAGTAACCCAGTCAAATCAGAAGTCAGATGTGAAGAGGATCGAAAACACATTTGAAAGGCTATCGATATATCGGAAATCGTTTAATCTAAACTGGCTAGCGGTCGTACAAGATAAAAAGCACGTCGTAATTACTCGTTATCTGGTACGGATGCATAGCCGAGCACCTTCAGATAGATGCATCGAGTAAAACTAATGAGGTCAGCATCAATTTCGAAGACCTACAGAAATACATTTTTACGTGAATTCATTACCCGTTATATTTTTCTATAAAATTACCTTCGCTTTTCTCCTAACTGGGATCCTTTAATTATGGAAAAAATTGACAAGCACGACACTACTTCGCATTCACCAAGAGAACTGTCATAACACCTAGGCAGTGCCTCGACATGTTTTATCATTACGCAATAGACAAATTTAAAGCGTAAAATTGAGCGACAAATGAGTTAAAAAGGAACTAAAACGTAGTAAATAAGAGCGGGGTAATTATAGCTGAAAACATGTTATTCCTAATACCATGGTGTGATAAACAAATTTAAATCGGCAGGATTTAAAGGCGCTGATTTCGTTACTTGCGCCTCAAATGACCTTTAGATGGGTGAGTTCCTACGTCCGCTTCATAAAGTGTGCGATTATATTCTGAAAGATATTTTTGTCTTAGATGGTTCGTGAATGATATTCAAACCCTTTTTGTCAGTTCTCCATGCTATTTTTGTTTATTTATGGTAATTCATTGTTGGCTTTAGTGGTTTAAATATTAGTAATTGTCCAGAAACTCTTTTGATATGTACACTCTGTGGATTTTAGTTCTCGAAAATAACCGTTTTGAGAGTTCTAGTCCTCTTTTTTCAGCTCTTTCATGCTTCGTCGAGACCTCTATCTTTTTATTACTGATGTAGTGGTGTCTTAAGAGAGGCAATTACTGAAACCTAATTTCCTTCCGGTGAAAATGTGTGTCTTGTTGCTGTTCAAAGTGTCGTTGGTCTTTTGATTTTAATGTAAATATCTTTGTAGATCACAGTCCTTGTGTTGCTATCATGATTGAACACATTGATGCTATAAAACTGGGTTGGTTTTCTATTAATTCGCAACCTCGTTTAAATAATGTTTTTGCTCCATCGAAGGACTGGACTAAACTGATTGTACATAGTGTCAAGAGCGTCCGGGAGTTTGGCGTGAAGTTCATCCATCCACTTGGATAAATAGGTTTTTGGCATTTCAGCTGGTGTTAGTTCATGATGAAAACTCTAAGCCTAATTACTAAAACTGGTTTATAACCCCCATTTAGTTCTGGTTGGTAGGTGGATATCCACAAGGTTATTTAGCACCGCTCAAAAGTCCATAAATGATGGTCTCGTCGCCTATCAGTTTGTGTTGGTGGTAGTTGTATAACTATTCAAAATTGAAATGTGATGTCTAATCCCGTAAAAATACATGAGTTCTATCAAGATTCCCGAAATAACTCGCTGATTAATCTCGACCAGCACCAAAACTAGATCCAGCGCGTCTAGACAATTGCTTTGAACTATTTAATAGTACCAAAATGTTCTCAAGACAGTGATTGCTGCTCTTATTTCTTGATTTTACGTATGGACGTTTTGAAGCAATACACGCGTTTTTCCTGGTTTCACATCCATCTGGACTTCACGTATTTATAGGAGCGGGGCGGTTACATCCAAAATGAAATAGTGATTTGTTTTGTACCTTAGTTATATCGGTGAATTGGCTTAATAAACGTTCAATTGTGTTGTCAGCAACGCTTTCTGATTGACAATCCTATTGACAAATGCATTTTTAACCTGTTGATGTACTACATAGTAACAAACTTGTCATCTCTGTGCTCTGAAGGTAATTGTTTGACAGCGTTTATAAAAATCAGTCTGGAACAACTGACATTTCTACTCTTTGCACTTTCACGTTATTCTTTTAAGATAAGTGGCACCTAACTAGTTTTCAATTTCACCTCAAAGCCTTGTTGTGTAAAACCAATGTGTTGGTTCTGTACAGCACAATTCTTCAAATTTTATCATCTGATTTTGTTCCTGTTCATAAAAAGCATTTAAAAATTATCAGACCACTGGTCACTCTTGGTGTTTAAACATAGACAAATATATTTATGTAGTTGTCTGTTATCAGGATAATTAATTTTAAATTAGATAAAGGAAGCTGTCTTGGTCGTGTTCCTTATAACTCGGTGATTGGATTCATCTTAGTACTTGTTGGAGGTGGTGTCTTGTGTGGTACAATTTATTCTGGAATATCACGTATCGATACATACTTTCGGTTGTATTTTTTTCCTGTGTACTCGTAAGTTACTAACATTTTAATGTTTTGTTTATTATTTTAATTGGGAGAATATGTTGGCATTCATTTTATTTTACTAAAGTTGTTGCTTAGTGTATCAACTTCAGAGAATCCTCAAGTTGGTTTTAACTTAAAACTATGGCTAACGTTTAACACGAATGTTATTCTCTGTATTGTGCATCCTTTTAAAACTAAATGAAATAGGATCCATACATTCATATATAGCTTGTGTTTTTTATGAATGTCTATCGCTGCTACATTTTCCAGACGAATACTCCAGATTAACTTTCTAAACTGGAATACATCAGTAACTAATTGGTTACAGAACTTTATTTTTCAATGATACAAGTGGTCTTAAATATCCATTAGTCCATAGTAAATTCAACTTTACGAAATGTATCTAGGTATCATCGTTCTTTTATAAGATACTGCACATAAATCGCCCTCGATCATGAGCATCTGTTTTAATAAAATCTATTCAATCTTATCATTAATTCTAGTACAAATGATTTGTATACTAACAAACGTTTTTGAGTTTTTGGTTTACAAATTAAATCCTCAAGGTCTGGTATGTTCATTAGAGTAAATCTCATCTATGTAAAAATATAACTCATCATAGGTTTTGTAGCTAGTGAATTTTATTGAGATGAAAAGCCATCATATTATTCTTATTGTTCCTCGCAAATACTTTTATATTTCATATGACTGATCCCGTAGTATCCATTTACTGAGCTTTTTAGACAAGTTTTGGAAATCAATGGGCTTCACGTATTATTTTCGGGTAGAAAATCCTTATTTGATTATCTTCCAAAACATCTTTTCTGTAAAGTCATACCTTAGTTATCATTGCTAATACATTATTTTTCTTTCTTTTCTATTCATCTCGTCGTGCTGGCCAACGTGCACTTGTACCGGGTTCTACGTTGATTGTGACTGAGTCACTGAGTTACTTTTGATTTACTTTTTTCTGACCTTTTTTAGAAGTCATTGCTGTTATATCAATTGTTCCTTAACTTTCAGTTTACCTTATCTAAGAATAGCTGCAGTTGTGAATGGGGCAGTAGCCGTTCTACTCGCTTTTCTTATACTAATTTTCTCAACACTTGTGAATAATGCTACTCGTGGCCGCATCTATCGTGGTGATCGCTACATTATGGGTGGGCGTTGTTCAGCAGCTCTGGTAAGAATTTCGTAATTATTTTCGGCAAGTCAGTTCATCTATTATAAACCGTATGTGCGCCTGTACAGAATTTACTAGAATTCTTTTATGGTCTGTGGAAAGTTATAAAGTGTTATGCTTTTATGTCGTTTATTTTCCAGGATTTTGTAAGTGTAACCCCGGAGTCATCAACAGAGACAAGTTATCTCTAGTTGTTTACACCAAGGACCCACATCAACCTGTAATCTCAACTATAAAATTCGGAAATCTCCACAAACGCCTATACTAAGAATTTTTCTTAGTTAGAAGTCGACTGTTGTGACTTTAAGCTCGCTTTTTTATCATGTGGTTTATTCGTCAATCGGAATACGACTTATACGCCATACACTGTGCCAAAACAATGACGTTCGAACGGTATGAGCAGCCTAGCATGCTTATTGGTCCTTTGTTCGCCTAACCCGGTCACTTGAGTCCAGAAAGCCAATAACAGGTTCCAATTTGCGAATCATTTATTTCAAACATCTTGGTTCATATACCAGCCAAACAGATCACATCACACCATAAAATAAGAAATAACATTTATACAACATCAAGCCAAAAGTGGCTATGAACGTGGAAGACTGTAATCAATAAACTGAACATAACTTAAGAACAGTAAATCGTATAATAATAATCTACAGGTCAAAATGGGTTTTATAATAAGAGGAATATATATATATATATATATAATATTAGCCCATTAATAGTTGTTATAATCTCTTTTTCTTACGGTATGACCCAGCTATTCTTATTGCTTAGTATTCTCGGACACCGATTCACTCGACGAGTCCCCAAATCAGAACACGGTTGAACAGGAAAGAGATTATATTCCAAATAACAAGGTTAAATGGAAGTAAGAAGCAAGTAAAAGCATAATAGAGAAAACGTTAGTATATTTATAGCTTTTACATGAGAAGATTCCATAGTATTCTCCAACTATCGACTAGCGCTGATTGGTTAAGAATTAGCCAATCAGCGTGCACCAAAGCAGTCATGCATTGAGCGTGCTTTAATCCAGTCTATATCCCGCTAACAATAGTTCTCAGAAGTTACTCGTAATTTAATCTTCGATGAAATATAACAGCGACATCAAAATAACTATTAAGTTGAGTGGATTAAATTTCAATGAACAGAACTTGGGCCTACCCCTCAGGTTACGAGTAGTATTTGCTGTTTAAATGCTACTTAAATCTTGGTCAATTAGATTCGGTTGCCACCTACAACCCATTGATTATAAGTCAGTCTGTAGCTCTTCTTGATACAGATTAGTGATTAATTTTGATTCGTAAAACAAATACCCTTGAAATTTACAGGAAGTTTGCAGTTTACTTTTTAGTTTGGAATTGCTTGTACTAAAGTGTACTGAAGTACCCTTTACTCTCCTAACAGAATTCACTTGCATCATGTCAGTTAATGTTTCTTTAAATTATGTCACATTCTATGGATACTTGATCGTAAAGGGTATTGAGTTTTGTTTTTTAGTTTACTAGAAATATGATCTTTATCATGATTTTGTATCTGATTTTATCCTTCAAAAGAAATAACGTTCCGGAAGGGATTTCGATAGTTTCAAGGTCATCAGTTGGTTGTGGGATCAGAGTTTAAAGATATTATTTGTTTCGTAGCTTACATACACAATCTCACTTGTTGATCAAGTGTAATTAAAATGTAGGGAAAAAAAATTAATTTTTGATAATTATTTACCATTTTTATCTAGTCGAATGCTTTTTCGGGTTATTATTATTCAAACAAGTATAATAAAAAGCGGATAAAAGTACTGATGTTACTTATTTTGAAACTCATAAAATGTTTCTTAGATTGTTTATTTGTGTCTAACTATTATCTGTGTCCAAGTAAACCTTTCTACTAGATGACAATGTTAAGAAAATGAATATTGTAATCTAAGCCAGTATGTGTTGACAAACATTGGTCGACATTTATCAATACATCGTAAAGTATTCAGTTGTTTAAAATATCTTGTGGTTACATTTGTCGATTAATCGAATTATCAAACATCTATTTCACAGATCCAATGGCTTCCTACTGAAGCTTTCACAATTGTTTGAGTGTTTATGATTAGTTACTATTTGACTTGACAAAATTAATGATGTTTGTATTGAAAGTCCAGTTTACCCATTTTTACCTATTTCTGTCATTAATATACTGATAAAGGCAATCCTCAGTGCTTCCGAAGTATTGAGGCTAGGTTTTCCAGCCAAGGATGAAGAGGTTTTTGTAATCATCAATGGCACTTGCAAAATAAGAGTATCTATCTCTGTAGTTATTGTTAAATTTCGTATTTATAATTAGCTAACATATTTTTATGCAACATTACCCTTTTTTGCATTTCATTATTATATCTTTTTAATTTTTTCCTTTTCTTTAAACAAATAGTTCATGTGCACCACATATGTAACCATAATTGTATGGTTAATATTTTTAGCATTCCTTGTTGTCCCTACATTTTGTTGGGCAATGTTCAACTCGATTTGTACTGCTGAGTTAGCTGATGTTTGGCATGGACCAGGTGCACGACGTCCTGGTCCTGATGGCCGTGTTGCTCCATCTCTGTCAGAGTTACGAGATCGCAAAGATTATCTGGCGGAAACGTATACAGCTCGTCTTGCCTACTATTATCAAAATCTCAATTTTGGCTATAATCCTTCTGAGTCTCAAAATGGTTTCAGACCTCCTTTTGTTAATCTTGGAAACTCGCCCAATCTACCAAATTATCACGCCAATCGATATTATTCTCCTGATTTCAACTACATTTTTAACTTGACACATTATGGTAAGAATGTTTTTTGAAATCATTCTTATTAATGCTACTTTCTAATCTTGTGCTTAATAAACCATTTATAAATTTATGTTATTTTATTATTGTTACTAAACCATTTGGTATAAAATAATAGCCAGTTCATATTCCATAGACGAACCTATATGAATTCAAATCAGTGGGCATGATAAGAGCATTGTCTATTTAATTTTATGAGTAATAATGATGTAAGTACGTCTTAGTTATGTACCGGCCTGTGATCCTGCCTGTTTTATAAGGGTCTATTATAAACCGTATGTGCGCCTGTACAGAATTTACTAGAATTCTTTTATGGTCTGTGGAAAGTTATAAAGTGTTATGCTTTTATGTCGTTTATTTTCCAGGATTTTGTAAGTGTAACCCCGGAGTCATCAACAGAGACAAGTTATCTCTAGTTGTTTACACCAAGGACCCACATCAACCTGTAATCTCAACTATAAAATTCGGAAATCTCCACAAACGCCTATACTAAGAATTTTTCTTAGTTAGAAGTCGACTGTTGTGACTTTAAGCTCGCTTTTTATCATGTGGTTTATTCGTCAATCGGAATACGACTTATACGCCATACACTGTGCCAGAACAATGACAGTAACAACGAGACTAGTAGTGGTTACCATTTATTTGTGTGGAGACTGGATACTACCCAGGTGCCTAAACCGGGGCGGGTGGTTCTCTTAGGGGGCACACCTGGAGCCATTGACCTGAAGGACAAATCCATAAGGCAGTGGAGCCTCGTTAGGAGATGCAGTTCAGTGGTAGTCTGTGACCAACGATAGGTTTATACGCTATTTTCCCCTCAGGATCTTGGAGCCCATCTGCATCATTGGTTTGTAGTCAGAGTTTTCCAGCTCCCCTAGGGGATCCTCATTATTCACCAACCCGGTCAAAGCGTCGGACATTCGCTTTTCGTTCTCTCAGTTTTGTAAACAACACCTCCGACACGATAAGGCAGTGAGTAAGACTTCCTCGACAGTGTCTGTATACGTGTGGCCTCGTGAGAGCATTTTAAGAGGGAGGGCTGGCTCTCCCCACATTCGGCTGTAGTAGGGCATTTGGAAGCCTAGATTGTATTTAAGCAGAGATGAATTAAAGCATGATTCATAAAATCAATCATTTTACGCTCTTCGTGCATACTAGTATATGTTCATTCAGTATTCTGTCCAAAGCCTTCATAATTGTAGTTAACTGATAAAATCCTCATAAAAATAGATTCAACCTTTTATACATTCGTCTCCTTTGAATAATACATTTACATCGATGAAAATTACAGCTATAGATATCATCCATTTACTATTAGGGTCATTTATTGCATTATAGTGACCTGGTACGTTATTTTACCCCGAGCATTTTCAACGGTTTCCTCTTAGTTAAAGAATATTAGTAAGCAATTTGAAAAGACTATGGAACTGTAATTTATACGTGGTTGTAATTCTGCTACTTGGAACATTTTCTTATTCGCTTTCAAAATATCATGTGAACGACGGGTTGGAAAATCGTATAGTTGCGTTTATTAAGTATCAGTAAAACGTTTTATTTATTTATAAGACTGAATGTGCTTGGTGAAATTTGGTACTGAAAAATCCCCTTTTGTAGTTCTAAACTTATAATTCACTCACCTTTTATATCCCTCAAAATGCTATGGGTCTTTTTCTAGTTTAATCAGTGACTTAGAAATAATTGCTATGCACCTAATAAAATAGACCTTAACATAGCGTAAAATTAGGAATAATATCTTCCGTATCACTCAAATGAATCTGTGGCAATTATTTATCTCCCAGAATCTCATTTTTCTCAGTGCTTGCTTTCAGATAATAAAAACATACGCTTTTGAACAATGCCCTTTATATTTAATTAAATGATCCTACAATTGATTGGCCTTTAAATAGTTTATTTTGTAAAAGAAGTGTTATAACTCTATCTTATTACGACCCGGCTATTCCTATTGCTTAGTATACTTGGACACCAATTCACTGGACAAGTCCCCAAATCAGAAAACAGTTGAACAGGAAGGAAATTATATTCCAAATAACAATGGTAGATGGAACTAAGAGACACAATAAAAAAACAGTATATTTATAGTTTTTACATGAGAAGATTCTAGTCTTCCCCAAGTATCGACTAGCACTGATTGGATAAGAAACAGCCAATCAGCGTGCACTGACACAATCGTGCATGGAACTTGCTTTAATCCAATCTGTGTCCCACTAACAAGAAGTATTTATTATATCCCATTTTAATATCATTTTTCTAAACAAGTACCGAGTTTTATATTAAATACCTAGTGCGAGCAGTTCAGAACAGTTGATTCCAATTGTTCAATATTCATGTTCGAATCTGCAATAAGAACATTCATCTGGTTTATCAGAATTTCAAACTGAATGTTTGCACCGGGTTTGTTGACAGTTAATTCAATGTAACGATTTCTAACTTCAATGTACTACGTGTACTTAAAATTGGGACTTTGAAAAGTACGAATAAACCTATCGACCGACAAGTTCCCATCTATTTGAAATGTATATCATAATGCCTGTGTATGTACTGTGTGAAACACACATTCATTTTCAGTAAAGCTCAACTGTAAGAAAATCAGGAGCGCGACAGATTTCTGATCACATTCAGCCAATCATTAAACCACAATTGTAAATAAATGATTTGTAATGCTGGAACTAGGATTAAGGTTTTAGCAATAAAATTTACAGTTATGATTGGTGCTCAAAATTTACCATTGTGATTTAAAATTATGATGTAGATTTTAAAATTTGAGTTTGGGGTTACAGCTATGATAAGGATGTAGGATTTAGGATTTATGGTTGCAGTTACAATCAGGGTTTATGAGTAATGTTAGAATTTAGTATTGGGATTAGGTTTTACGCTTAATATATATTTACCTTTATCCTAACTTTAAACCGTACATCCTAAACGTAAACTCTACATTTTGTCCTTAACCCTAACCTTAGGTATTTAATAATGTTTTTGTCATCAGTACTAATCATCTATGTTCGATAGAAAACGTTCTATTTTGATAAGTGTGTCGTGACCTTGAAGCACCTCATTTGTTCTTTGTTGGTTCTTTATACTTCATCTTTATCATCATCTAACAATGTGAATAGGATATAGGTTTTTAATAAATTGGCCGTGTTCTTATTTTACTTCATTCATTCTATTCCTTATTATGTTGCGCTACAATTGAATAATAGTTTAGACGAATATGATGACCGCTATGGATATTTATTCTTGTTTATGCAGATTTTAAAAAGTCTGGTCGTCTTAAGCAACGATCTCAACAACCTGTTAAAAATCTTTGTTGCTAACACACATTTTACATAGCTTTAAATAATAAACGATATCCTTTAAAGCATAAGGTGATAATTTGGAAAGAACCATCTTTTGTAAAAGCTATACAAATTTATTTGTCGTTGCTAACGCAACTACAGACAGAGAGAGAGAGTCGTTTACTGGACACAGTGGGTTGATTATTTCCAGTTTATTGAAGTGATATCAAATATTTTATAAATCTGCCAGTGAAATTCAATTATTTATTTTCCTATTCTTGTGTCAGTGTTTTATGAGTACGCTATTTCTCTTTTTTTTCGAGGCGTTTATATTAAACCATGGATGTATGATGAGTCACTGAATTATCGTGAAGCCATTACTTCGCTGAACGAATTTGCAAGATTTTGTGACGAAGTAAGTTTGACTTATCATTATGTTTTTCATTAATGGTAAGTAAATACTTGTAGTGTTAGTAATGGCTGTATCAATGTAGAGGGTGAGACAGTAGGTGGACTAAAAGTACACAAAGAAGAGCAATTAGAGAATAAATAAATTAATGAGGAATACCAGAAAATGGATTGCTGTAGAATGACTAGGTATAGCTGGTGTTGGATAATTAACGCTTAATGCACAATACGAAGTTACTTATATATTTCATCAGTCATAGTGGATTATTGACCAACAAATTCTCGACACGAATGTAAACAACGTGCTTGGCTTTTCACAATTTTCTATATCTAGATGCTTCATATATGCTAGCAGGTCGGTTTAAGGCTTGAGACGGCAGTCATACTAAAGTACGACATTTGCGCATGGATGTATTGATTTCTAGTCTGAGCCATGTCGATCAGTACAGAATTCCAGGTCAAGACTTCTCATATAATCGTGGTTCATGGTTGAAGACGTTGATTGATCAAGTCGAAGCTTTAGACAAGAAGTTTTAAGACAAGTAGGCTGTAAAGGAACTTCAGGAATCGATTTTTAATGATAACCGATCGTTATGTCAGATTCCCATATTGTTCGTTCTCTCGTCATTATGATTTAAAATTATGATCTTTCTCACATCCACAGACTAAGCAATAAATTACTGGTTTTCGAAATTTTTACATTTGATGGGGGGATCTACCGTTTTTATACACAAACGTACCGTGCTTAATGGGTAGTGAAATTCGATAAAAGCAATAGTTTGTGGTCCATGATAAGTGAATGTGATGATCTATAAACTGATATCTTTGATATATGCTATTGATAAGTATTCCAAAAACCTAATAAATTCTGCATATTATGATAAGTTCTAGTTATGGTGACAGGTGATTTGAACACTTAAACTTGTATCTATTAGGTCACTAGCTCAAATTTAATCAAAACACTATCTACCTTTCAGGTAAAAAAATGTGACTGAAGTTGTACATGTTCTGAGCCACGTTTATTTAGTTAACAGATTAATAATTACTAATGCCTACTCCCTTCCAGAATTCTCTATTTTAGTAATTCTTTCTTAGCTATTTGTTTCATGTGAGACCTAGTGTCATAACTCTCTGAATGTCGGTAATCATTGTAATTTTATTCCTAACACTCTGATTATTTATTCATTCTCACTTAGTTTCGAATTTAACGATGCTCCGTTTATCTCCTATTGTACATAAAATGAATAGTTTGTTTCTCGCTTCTGACGTAGTTACGAAAGTCTCGATAAGAATGGTGTGTGTAGTATATTTAAAAGACATTCTTTTGTTGCCAAGGTATAATCCCATGATAGGACAAAGTAGGTGTCCGGTGCTTCTTCAGTTTCAGTGGCTGTCTAATCAATATCAGTCCGTGATGTAACCTATGAAATAAAAATGAAGTTTATTACCTTCAATTTACTTTAATCTATCACATTCACACTTGCTTCTACAACGTTTTTCCCATTTATCTAGGTTATGATAGTGGGTCCACTTTTTGCTTGTTCACTTGGCGGTGCTATTTTTGTTCTACTTGGTTTGGTACGTTTATATGTTTCTTTTTTATCTATTCTATTTATTTACACACTTTTTATTAAACCTTTTATTATTTTGGTCTTGTTATACAAGATTATAGTAAAATTAACGGAAGTAACCTATTGTATCATTGAAGAAGAATTCAGACAATTCAAGGAGGAAATATTTCTTTTCAAGAATATCATTTACTCTAGTTTTACAATCGTATTTATAATTGATTTACGAATAAAATAGTCTATTGAAAGACAAGAGGATGGTCACATCATATCATGTGTCAAAACAAGTTGATTAATAATCGAAAATTGAAGTGAGGAGAGAGATAATTGGATGAAATCAGATATGGGAAGGATAAAAATTAAGCTAAAAAGATACAAATTAGGAACAGAAGAATGTAATGAAATTGGATTACCATGTTAGGTGCACGGACGAATGATGGCTTACATGTGTCTCTTTTGCACACAGAGTTCATGTTTGAAAAGATGAATTACTAACCAATAAGATTTCTATGAAGTCTAATGCGCATAGTTTTGTTTTATCAATATCATTGTAAGGTAGTATCATAACACAAGTCTGCCTCAACAGTCACATACGGATTTTGTTTTGCTACCGTTAGAGAGATCCAGAATATTCCTCGAAAAATGCTTATACGGTCCCTGTAAATTCTAGGAAGCATTTTACCCAATCAGCGTTAGATAGAAGTCTCTCAGAAACATTTAGAAAGTGAAGAGTCACGTGTCACATTTCTGATTGAATGATTACCTGCCCTGCTGCTATGTTTAGTGGCGTTCAAGAAGCCTAAGGCCATCTGAAATGCCATAAATACCCTAAATTTTCTGTACATAAACGAACCTTGGAGTAAAGCGTTCTTCCCATATATCGCGCCATTTCTCTCGTGTTCAAGTTTTCGTGTAGCCTAGGATTATTAGAAGAGCTTAGGGAACTGATTCAAACGTTCGGTTAGAAAATTTACCAACTAAACGATACGATTAGCAGCTACACCTATTTTACAAGTCAACAGTAGTGTCTGATTAACATCAAACTGTGAAGTGTACTAACTTTTATAGAAGTCTAACATAGCATTCTGCTTGAATAACGAATAACTTAAAATATTTTACCTTGTTATGAATCTTGTCACATTTCGATAAACGTTTTGCTAACTTTCAATATACGAATAGGCCATGATTACTTTAGCTGATACTGGGCTGTCCAACCCCTGTGCATAAGTCAGGTGAAGGTCGAGCTAATCACACTATCTTTCTAAATCGTGATTGTATGAGAAGAGAGTTCTACTGGAAAATTAAGCGTGCAATTGTGGCACGAGAAAAACTTCCTTTTGGTGCTTAAACAGACTCGTCTGGAGGGACCCTTAAGGCCTGGCTGGGGCGGGCCAGAGTGTAGGCCATAAACTGTGCCGTAACTAATACACGGAGGTCAACACTAAATCTGCTTGTGATATGGATGTGAAGTGAGCACATCGTCTGTGACGACTTATGGATATAGTGATTTGAATACGTGATATTCATTCAGTAAAAATAATTCTGAGTTACGGCCTGGAATGATTGCATTTATATCTATATGTACTCTATGCAGTGTATGAGCCTTGGTTTATGCATTTTATGTGTGCATGTATTGTATACTTGCGAACGGAAACTTTTAAGCCTACGGAACAATGGACAGAATTGCAACCAGTTCTAGAGGTAACTGACTGTTGGACTGATCCGTGTTTGTAGGTGCAGACCTAGTTGGTGTCCACACGATAACTTCGATCAGTGATTGAAGATGTCAGATGGCATGTCGTATTATCGACCACAGTGGAACAGATGCATTCACTCTTTGTTTTCTAAAAGATCTTGAGTTTAAAGATTATCTTACACTCTTTATTCTGCGAACTCATTCTTCTCAAATTATTGTTCATCTCCAATCTTTACTATTACAATCGATACTGTTACTACTTCTGCTACTCTAATATTTGTCCTCAGACTTTCATCTCGCTTTCCTGATGTAATATGGTAGCAACTTGTACCGATGCATATATATTTCAGAATCTACATACTTATAAGTGAATGACTGAGTGACAAACTGTTTTTTCTCTTTAAATTGATTAACATAAAAAGGTCTCACGTAATATCTTATACATTTGTTAACTGTTTCTTTTTATTGCTCCATTTTTGTTTGCCTTCACAGACTCTATTTGTTGGCTCATTGTCAGCTTATTATACTCGATTAAAATTGACAAAAGAACTGACAGATTTCAAACAGAGCATTGCATTAAGATCACCCAAAAATCATGATCCATCAGCTTATTTTTAAATAGCAGAATCCCTACGTACTATTATTATTGTTATTATTATTATTATGTAAAAAATCTCGGTGTTGTAGACAATGAAAGAAAATATTTATAACCTTAATTAGTTTGTTTTTAAAGCAAGGTAGTGAAAATGCATTTTCTCGGTAGACAGAAGGATAAACAGGGAGAAGTGGGCACGGGAAAGAGGTTGGAAAGAAGTGGGGAATATAGCAATGATTATCGTTTGTTTGAATTATTTTCTAATTTTATTTCTCACAGTTGTATATACTGTGTGCACTTTCCAGTTGTTGTTCTACACACTTGACAATGTGCGATGTGTTCAATTCCTTGTTTATTTGTTTGTTTGTATGTGCATTTTGCCTCTCTTATCTTCACTCAATAATGATAACTGTCCTATCCTTCATGTACTTGATAGTATGTTTGGAGAAAAAGATAATAATTTGACCAAGTATTTTTGTTTAACTGCTATCAGTTATAGTAATAAAAGTAATTATGAGTACCGTGTATTTTGCTCCATACTCAATATGGATATATATATTACTCTAGTTTTTAATATATGTTCTATGTTTACTCTATATTCATTTGTTTGGCTTTCGTTTTTATTTTTGGCCTGTCCCTATCATAGGATATTCCATTTTATCTTTTATATACTATTTGTATTCACTAAATGATGAATTATGATTTTGGTACAACTAGTCAATAACTTAAAAATTAGTATCTATGTATATGCGAACACGAACATACGCTCCATCTATCTCCCTCTTCTACGTTTTCGTTTACATTGTTAATCAAAACCATATATATCTATTTTATGTATTGAATAACACAATAATGATCGTGCTATCTTGTCTGACTATCGCATATAGTTTCTGATCTACTGCACTTTGCCTATCTATTCATTTACTCTGCTTTGTTTTTTTTTCTATCAACCCAGTAAAAATGATACAGGATAAACTTTTAACGACACAAACATATTTTTATATATTCAATATATCTCAGTTATTACTACCATTATTCGCTATTTCACTTATTTTCTCTTGTCATTATCATTTATACTGTCTTTTTTCTACAATGTCATAAGTACAACTTTTTTTAGAATGAAATAATTTCCAATATTTTATTTTGCATTTTATTTTGTTCAATTGGTTGATAACAGCAAACTTAAATTTGAAGAAACAAGTATTTTCACCAAGTATTTAACTAAAATGACACTAGTCTCGTTGTTCAATTATTTTCATCATAATGCAAATAAGGATCTCATAATTATTTCTTTATGTATGTGTGCATGTATGTATGTCTTTTTTGTAAAGTGAAGTTCTTGAAAGTTTCAGTAAAAAAAGATCAATTTTTCCTCTTTGTTTACATAAATGTATACTCAAACTCAAAAAAAGTTTACTTCAATATTCCATGATATTTGTTATTATTATAATTATCACTACTATTACTACCACTACTACTACTATGGTAAACTGGAACTTCGAATTACTATTCTTTGATTTGACTTTACGTTTGAGATATTCATATGGAGAGAAAATCAATGCATTTGTGGTGTACCCCCTTTTTTGATTTTAATCACATAAATAAATTGTTCTCATTATGTTAACTCTCTTGTTTCATTTGTAATTATCAATAATTCACAGAAATTCCAATGGTGTTGTTACACCGTTGAGAAGTTAATCTAACATTGTACAGAATTCCCAAGGGGAAAGATTAAGTTTTAAATTGTTTAAAAATGTTAGAATGTGAATATGATCGACTAACTTAAAAATATGATCAATCCACAGAATGCGAATGAAATAAATCACATAGAATCCTTAAGAATATTTCTTATGGAAACCATCATATCGAGTCGTCAATGTTTCGTTTCCGAGTTGAAGCATGAGTGAGAATTAAAGTGGAATCAGGATAACCCGTTTGTGACAGTAGTAGTGTAAGTAGGTTTAGCTAAATAAGTCCTTCATATTCGTGCGAAATTCTCATCATTCTATCGACGTGTAATTCTTAGCATAAGAGACTATTGACAACTCAGCCGCTGCACTACTTTTACCAGAGTGGAACGACTCTGCATTCAACGGATATGAAATGCATCCCACCTATTTTACACTGATTCATAGCATCCACAAAGTATCTTTGTCATGAATATTCGCTTTGAAAGAACATATCATTGAAATTGTATATTTTTTGGAGCTTCGCTCTCAAGCCTGGCTGGTAAGACTGTCAATAAGAAGTTATTTATTGTTTGTACAAAATGTTGCAAATCGAATGACCAAATCAGATTGTTATTTTTATCTAACTCTCCACTTCTATACATAATTTGACTAACTTAGGTTTTTTCCTAAGAATGATAACTCAGGGTTTTTGATAGTGTAATTTTTTATAAATATGGAGAAATAGTTCCGAAAGGTTATTTTCGTGTAATTAAGCAAATTGATAGGTAGACTTGATTGTATAGTGTCGAATACATTTAGTACATAGAAAAATCCGTCTTGACCTAACATATGTAGGATATCCCTACATTTGAGTTAAAGGCTTCGATCTTCTAATGTTGAATAGATTTAAGTTCTGAAGTCCAAAATATGGTTCTTAGGATTAGTGATTTGACATCATAACATCTTTTAGTTGATAACGAGTAGTTGCATGTTAATTAAGTATCCATTTGATTGAGTCTCGATGGTCTTGAAGCGACTGTTTCTCACTTTGTAAACTCAGAATCACATGTCCATGAATAAAATGGACTATGGTGTTGAGCTACTTAGTTTCCAGATCACACACCAAAGTTAGTAGAGATTTATCGACAGTAAACAGTATGATATTTTTGATGCTCTTCGACAATATCTGTACTATAGGTCATTTGTCGAGCTTAACTTTAATGTCTGACTGCAATGCTAAGTGACGCGAGTTAAAATCTTCAATAAATCATTGGTTTTCTCGTCAAATGGATGCTTTGCTGATAAATCCCAAAGTAAACGAATTCATAGCTTAGTTATCATGGTTTCCATTCATTCTCTCCCAACACTATTGAACCAGTAAGTATGATATTAAGACCTCGGAGGGAATTACAAGTAAACCACATATCATCATTAGTGAATATTTGAAAATGTTAAGGACTTTAAGTTACTCAAGAATTGAAAACCTAGCGAATTAATGAGAATATCCTTCCGATTTTAAAGCAGTTCATTGAACGAATTTTTGTCAAAGAATAAACTGATATTGCTTGAATATCAATTTAACATGGAATAGACGTATATAATGTCTTCATTATACTGATGGAACACATGAACTGCTTATGAAATTTCAAGGATCGAATTAATGTGGAAAATTCATTTTTATGCGTAGGTTGATACATTCGTGAAAGATTGGATGTCGTTTTTCCGTCGAACTAATATCATTTCTACTAATCACTTCATTCTTAATAGCTGCATTGATATTTTCAAATAGATAAATTTTGATGTATTACACATTAAATCAAACTATATATTACTGTTAAATATAAATAAAAAATTCTCTTATTCACTGTTTTTATTCTAGTTGTTTACATTTAACAAAAATAGTGAAAAAGAACTTAATATAGTTTACAAACTCAGCTCACAGTTAGACTATAATCACGAGTAATTCTATTGAGTTTGTGATCTAATTAGATTTTCTTTTGCCCTAGGCAGAATAAATATAGTGACAAAACAGTTACTACGATAATAAGAATGTACTTTTATTTAATAATATTTAAGTATATAAGGTCAGAATATTTCTAAACATAAATGAGTTGTTTACTCATCTAAACATTTCATTTTTTTTCAACCTATTTTTCTATAAATACATAGATTCTCAAACATCTGCAATGTTGGACTAATTACATTTTGTGAAATAACACATAGAATTCGATTAAAGTACACGATTTCTATTGAAGAAATTATTTTTGCTACTTTAAGTCCTAATTTAGCATACTATGATAGTAAATGAGTTTTGACAGTATTGATGTATATCAAGGTATATAGTAATTAATTGACAAATATGAACAAATCATAAACGAAACTAGTAACCTATGATTGTTTCTGATAGACTTTATACGGAATATGCAGTAGTTAAAAAAGTGTTATTGATGAAAATCTAATTTGGATTGAATGATTCCCTGAAATACCTTATCTCGATAACAATCTTGTGTCCAGTAATGAATAACGTCGTAGTAGATTTATAAAATTTTAATGGAAACCTATGGTGACTGGTGGCGTTCATTAGATGTTAGAACTAAGAAAAATATCACCAAAAATATTTGATGGCGATTGCGCTTTATAAAACAGACTAAAGCATGGATCACTGAATTGTGACTCAGTGATCTAAATTTATGATGCTCTCAACGGTACCTGGAAGTCATACATTCAATTCTTTATAGAGTCATAATTACGCAGTATGATGAAATCTTAGTTACTCTGCAAAATGATCTAAACTGTACGGAACTATTAATTCAGTCCATTCAGCTTGAAAATAAACTATTATTACAACTTCATTTAAGATAATTGTGAGTAAATTGTTATTAAGAATAATTATATATATCCCACAAAACATTTTGGATATATATTGTAATCATCAGTTGCGTGGATATCAGAATTTAATAGTATACAATTCCAGATGTATTAGAAATATTACAATTCTCCATTGATGTGCCTTGGTTCAAGTTGTTTAAATCCACAATAACATAGGAAAATTAATGTCAACAACAATGAGGAAATATTAAAAAATGGAGTGTTAACAAATAGCTGACATGTAGTAGTATGAGAGAATTACAGAGTGGATGATTACTATAGATTCTGATCGATATCATTATTATTCTGCGGTATTAGAACACAATTATTCTTATCAGAATACATGTATGGAGTGCAACAATGATTTTTGTTTACGTTGCTATTTACACTTGTATTATTTGAATGTGTTCATCAACTTCTACAATGCTGCGAAAAGTTAACAAGTGTGACTACAGTTTATGTTTCTAATGGTTACAACGCTCCAACTAATACCATAGTGATACGTTTGAAATCATGAGTAAGAACTAATGTAGTCTGAGATATTAACACTGAATAACTGTCGTTCATTACCATGCATTGGTGGTACTATGCTTTATGGACGAACCAATCAGATTAAAAATAACGGACTTTGGATCATTGGGTTAAATTCAAAACTCTATGACATATAATCTGTACTGTTTGAAGAGTTAAGTTAAAATTACTTATATTTAGTTCATAAAAAGCTTGGAGAGTGTAAAGATTATGATCATTAGACTATCGTCCCTATGAGTTATTTACTCTACTTCATAACTCGTGTTCATATTAAGAATATTTAAACGGCTTTGTCATGATTTAAGAATTATTTTTGGCTTTATTGAGGCTTTGAAGGTAAATTATACTGTAGTCATATAAAGAAATTTTTGTATACCATTCACTTTCATTTCAAAACCTGTTACTCCTTTACGAACTCTGATAAATTTATGAGTCAAAGAGAAAGTATATACATATTATAAATTATCAGGTTTTATATAAAAAGATTATTTATTTATATTATCTCCATCTCGATTGGCTACAACGTCGCTTAAGATTGTTCATAAAATATAGTGACTCCCAGCATTTATGATGAAATCCTTCTTAATAGTTTCTATGTAAGATAATTAATGATGGTATAAAAAAGATCTATTAATACAATTAATTAAATCTAAACAAATTCTTTACACAACTACAACTAACCGATCCTTCATACAAGAATAAAGAAAGAAGATACAAATTATATAAGTGTGTATTTCATAAAGTACATATACCAACAACATAATTTGGTCTAATCATAACTTTACATTTGAATTCGATAATTCTGAATCCAAGTTCTTATCATTATTTATATTTCTTGTTAAAGGATCACGTGATGCTAGAAGTTCATTAATTGATGTTATTATTTCACAATCTTGATTGAATGTATTATTCTGTAAAAAACAATATAACAAGGATTAAATAGGAAATTAAAATAAATCAATATTTAAATAAATGATCCCAGTTCAATTAATTAAGGCGAAAAAGAAAAAAATACTATATTTTTCTTATTCATAGTGAAATAGATATGATCTTAATGATAATCTTTTTCTTTAATCATCTGCTTAAATTATAATGTTTTTGATTGAGATCATGAACCGATTGATGTTAGACCACCTTTGGAAATCTGGAAGCACTGGACGGCCGTTTCGTCCTATTGTGGGACCAGTCAGCATGCGCATCCTCGATCCCGCTCACGCGATTCCCACATAAGGACGAAACGGCCGTCCAGTGCTTCCAGGTTTCCAAAGGTGGTCTAACATCAATCGGTTCATGATCTCAATCAAAAACCTAATAATCTCCACAACCCCTATACTAGTAAATTATAATGGCTTGATTAAAGTACATAATAACTATTAATTTAAAAATATATTACTGAAATTGTTATTTATTACTGTATATAAAGTAAGCTGAACAATGTTAGATTTTAAATTCACATGCTTTTGTTTTGCTTGTATCTTCCCATTGAGTGTTTTTAAAAACTGCAATTGATCAGTCTGTTATTAGCATATGTGCTTACTAGGCGTATGCCGCGATATTGTCTTAATTCACAAGCTTTTTGTAAGTAATGATGGATAGTGGCTAGCTGTGGAATTCAAGACGCGCGTTTCGTCCTATGTGGGACTCGTCAGCTGGTTGTACCTGCATCTCACAGTTGATGTTCACTCTGGGACTCGAACTCAATACCATTCACTTCAAACGCCATTGCGTTATCCACTCAGCTACTGAGTCCCGATAGCCACTTGCTTGTGCAATTAGGTGAATTTAAATTCACTTGGTATTATTTGGCCTGTATCTTCCCATTGAGTTTTTTTAAGACTGCAATTGATCTGTCTGTTATTATCTACAAATATGATGTTTACTAAAGTATGTACGTGAAAATCTTTAATACATATTGATTATGAAATAAATAGTTATTTTCTGAAATGAAAATCTAAATTTCAAAATTCAATTGTTTAGCTGAGAAAATTCGACATTATCAAAAGAATTTATTTAAGCTGTGAATATTCTTCATCATTTGCTTACATTGTTTGTAATGTTAATTAGTGATGATATTTCTTTCAATGTTACTAAATTTGTAATGGATGTTATTCTCATACTTGCCTAATTCCTATGTATAAAATTTAAGCAATGAACTATTAACAAGTCTGACATAAATTCGAATCCTATTACATATATCTATGCTTAGACACGTAAACAGTATGACTTGAACAGCGTATTATATCATAATATAAATTAGCTTATAGCTTGCATTACCGGTTGATTTTATTTAGAGATCCATAGAAAATCAAGAAGTCCTAGTATGGCCGTCCAAAGCGGTAAACATCCATAACCTAGCAATGGAATGAACTCAGAAAACTCAGGCCTTTTCGATAACTTATACTTCGTGACCACTGAGGCGAAATCCAGTGATTCACATTACTAACTTATACATCAACAGTTATGAGTTACCACTGAGTAGTCTTTCTCAATCGATGTTAATATAGGTTTGAAGCGTAGATAAAATTATCTTAGAGATATCCACCCTTTTAGTAACAATTATTGAGAACGGAGTAGAGAACTGTGTTTAAACGTTGTCATTGTTGGTAGTACGGTGTGTATTACTGACTTCGTTAAATGCAATTAATATGTATCACCAATCGTAAGTGAAGTACCTGGAGGTAAAATGCTAAGAAGATCGAGAAGAAAAAAACGTGATCGGTGTGAAAACGAAGGAACTATTAAGTTTGAGACAATTGATTAACATTTTGCAAATGAAGTATTTACTGTATGGCTCTCAGATTTTACTAGGAGATTCTGTGATTTTATATTTGATTACGTCTAGTTTTCCCCACTGGTGTTTTCGATCATTACAGTAGTAGACATATTACATAAAATTATGCAACACGAAAACAATAATCATTGTCGATTAACTGTCTGTTTATTTGTTTACTGTTGTTTGAAGTATAGTCCGATTATCAGCTGAAAGACGATAGAATCCTTTTTAACATAAAGTTTCATCACACTATTGACAGATTTTTCAAGAATATCTTCAAGTAAAAAAAGTCTGCACAAAGTAGAAATTATGAATGAAATACACAGTTTTTTAGTCTTATCTGTTCTCTACTGATTATGAGATACGGCTAATGGTCACTGAATTAAGAAGATTATAAACATTAAATATTGTGAATGTAGTTCAACCTATAAATGAACAATTACTAACTGGGATATTCAGTTTCAATAAATATGGACTATATATTTAGTGATATTATAATATTTCTTCAGTTAAATATTTGATACTGCCAGACAACGTAAGTCGGAAAATGAACTTCCGAGAATATTTAAATTGATAAACATAAATAGAACACAGAATAAAAAGTATTTTTTTTTAACTATTCAATTCAAGAAATAATTGTATACTTACTATCAACTTGTATACCCACCCGGTGAAATAAAAAGAAACAAAAAACATTAAACAACTAGAAAGAACTATCTATTTACTTACATCAAATAACAAAGTTAAAATTCCTGTGCCCAAGTTTGTTGTTGCATTTTCAACATTTAATAAATTCACTTGATATGTAATTGCCTCTAATAAGGCCTTCAGACCGTTAATACCAATTGAATTGCCTGGTATATTAAAACAATTTTTTTGAAAGATTATAATAATGATTTTTGTGGTTTTTGAGAATTTGTACAAAAAAAAATAATAAATAACACTTAAAGTATTACATTTTGTTGCAGTGAGAGAAACTATGATTGTTGTATAACAAACAGAATTAGAAAAGGATTATTATTATAAAGGGAGTTATTTATTGAATTAAATTACTTTGTGAATTAGAAATCAATTTACTTTTCTTGTATAAAACTTATGGCGGCGGTTATTATTAAAATAATATGACTTTGAAAGCGTAACAAATCGTGTTTCACGCTTAATATTTAAGTTTCTTTGACATTAACACAACAAGAATAAGGCTACATTCTACTTTGAAGGCGGTATATCAAGTAAGTAATCCAGTAAAAGCAAAAGATGGAATAAAATTAGTTATTCAGTGGAAAGTAAGCGTACACTTTTGGAAATATTTTTAAACGCTCAAGCGTACTATAAAATACAACTTTATTCCAACAAATAAAAAGAAGTTAAGCATGAGACCGATAGGTCCTGGGTTCCAATCCCACGGGGCGAGATCATGGATGAGCACTGTTGAGAAGTTCCATACTAGAACGAGACGGCCGTCCAGTGCTTTCAGGTTTTCCATGGTGGTCTAGTTTCAATTGACTCATGAACTCAAACAATAAATAAATAGACCAGAAAAAACATGATTTCAAGAACGGAAGTCAAAGAACGGCAAAATGTATTAGCTGTTTGTCAATAAAACTAATTAACTTTATCGATTTAATTGACGTTTTATTTTTACCGCCCTACTATTATCTCGTAGTTTTATAAATTGCTAATATATTGTAACATTGACAGATATTTTTTTACCAATTTTGATTAGATTATATTTTGTAAATAGAAATACATAGAAACGGCGAAAATATTCAGCTAAATTGAGATAAATTTAAATAATGACTAATTACTTATGTGTATACTAAATTAAGAGTTCATGTATTATTAAATTTCAATAGACTCAATATATGATACTACTTATTAATTGCTTAAAGTGAGTATATGTCATATTTATGGTTATCCAGACATTATTGATGGAGTCAAGTATGAAATAACCGTATTTATCTGTTCTACTTATGAGCGATTGATAATTTTAATAAAACATGCATAACTATAAAATCCATTTTCATAATGTCTTCAGACTTGAATAAATAGTAGTAAGTTTACATTCAACATCTCAGAAGACTTCCAGTAGTAGTTTACTATAGATTTGTATTAGTCCCACTTTGTTAATTTGAAAACTTTAATGAAATGCTTTCTTAGTTACTTTTAAAATTAGCTTTTCAGTTTAAACAGAAATATATATATATATATATATATATATATATATATATATATATATATATATATGAAAGGTTCAAGTCATGAGTAAAACAACCTTAGTTCAACACTTTGAATAAGTAATATTTGATCAGTTTAATTTTACTGATATTCTGTATTTATATGAAATGTAAATACAAAGTAGTAACTTAAAGTATCATAAACATTTAGCGAATAGAATGTATTCGACTCAAGGTGAATCAATGATGACCAGGAAATAGCGTAATAACAAATAATCATAATTTAAGTATGAAACAGATGGTTAAATAAGTAATTAACTATTTATTCAGTCAATTAGATGTCTCAGAGAGCACCAAGAAATTCCCAATCTTCTTTGATCTAATGAAAATACAAACACTTTAACAAATAAATATGCTTAACAAAAGATAAAAATAATGAGGTGAGTAAAGCATTGGAATAATTTTAAAACAACTCAATTTATCAGTGTTATGTCCCGATAAGCATAATGAATGGTGATTTTTGGGATCCATGTATGGACCAATACTATACGTATATTTTTATCGTATAATTATTACCTAACTAAACTATTCATATTCATGTCCCTCTTATTATGAGCTTTATTTTGACCTATGAACTATTATTATACGTTTCACCATTCTTGAATTATGCCCTGTCTATTAATCACTACCTCCCACATTCACAGCCACATTTGGTTAGATCTTGTACAAATGTTGTTTCCTATTTTATGGTACGATATAGTCTGTCTGGTTGGTATATAAACTCAGTATGTTTGAAATAAACGATTCATATCGCAGAGGCTGAGATTCGTGTACTGGATTTAACTGATTGGCTAGGTAAGATGCAGGATTGTTAAGTATTATAGACTGCTCGTACGGGTTTTATGCGTCACTGGTTCAATCGATAATTCACTGCTCTTTATTGGCGGTATCGTTACGTTATACATTAACAGGGCACTCGGGCCACAAGTAATAACAATCACAAGTGGAAAGTTCTAGATCTACACTTTATTCCACGATAGTATTTACTAAAAAAACATCACCTCGAATCTGATTTCAAGGTAATACTATTTCATAGAACCAAAATATACTTTACAATCGATAAATAGACGATTAATAGCTTTATTTTTAAGTTTTCCTTTTACTTGGCAGTTCCAAATATAGGCGTATAAATTCTAATCAAAAAGTTTATTTCTGTTTCCATATAACATTTAAAATAATCTATGACATAGTTCAATTATAAGATATTTTGTCAAAAATAACAAAACAGAAGTAACAGTATTTTGCTTATGATAGTAACTATGAAATCTTATGAAGCATAATAATATGTAAAGTGATACCAGAAATTCTCATTATATTTAATTATTTGCCTACAAAATATATCCTATTAAAAAATTATATTGTATTACTATAATTAGTTAATATATATAATGACAAACTATATATACAGGTACCTTGTAGATGATTTTCTATATAAATAGAAGTTTAACATTCTGGTAAAACAAATAATGGCTTTTGTAATGGATACAATATAAAGTACACTGAAAAAAAATTAAAACTACCATTTATATTTTAGAAAATATAATGAATTTTTTATAAATCAAATATCGTAGTTATTTTATTGTATATATTTTTTTCTACATAGAAAGTTATAGTGATTGTAGTAAGACAAATTAACACACTGATTGATATCATTGTTACTTACAAGTGGGAAAGAACTCAAGATCAATTCTTTCAAGATCTTTTGTTTGATTTATGCTGATGAGCTTCACAACAAGAGATGACTGAAGTATTGTCGAAATCCCTACTAAAAAATATGGTTGTTGTTTTTTATGGTGTGTGTGGGGGGAATCACTTTGAACCAATTTAATGAAACTCTTTGATGATTTTTAAGATTTGTAATAAAAATTTATACATTTATGATGGCTTACGTGATAAATTCAAGAACGCTAGCATAAAATTGCCTACAATCAATAATCCATATGGTTCAACGTAGATAGCTTTATCCAGAATTGGATTTATTAATTCATTCGTTTCGGGACTGGACTAAAATTTTAAATAAAATTATACGTAAATGTACAATATGTTGAAAGACAAAAACAGATATATAAGTGTTGATCTAGACAACGTATATTATTAGTCTAAGGGATTCGTACTTTTGTGCTTTTAATTTAAACAAATGTACTCATCAGTCTCAGATGTAGTATGGGCTATATGAATGGATGTCACAGTATTTCCAGCATTTAAAAATCGTTTGTTTCCCATAAAAAGTACGGATACGAATTCGATTAGTAAAACGCAAACATTATAACCAAAAAAAGTCCAAATATCCTACAGAATTCTAAGAGGCAATATATTCAGGCCGACTTAATAATAAATGATACATCAAAATAGAATTGGCTTTTTAGCTTATACAAACAAGTTAAATCAATACATTCTAAAAGCAACCTATAGAATAATTAAATAGGATAGTAGAAACAGGTGAAAATGACAACCAGTTATACATGAACTTATCATAAACAACTTTTATAGCACTTACGAGATGAATTTAATAAAAGTTATTTTCACTTGAAGTAGGTCCTGGTAATGCTGTTTAGACTAACAATCAAAGTTTCTTAATTAAATCATTCCTGTCAGTTGAACTAGCTGTATCAACAATCTACCTAAGCTATAAAACTTTCCCATTTCAAAATTGCTTATTTATCTGTCATCAAAAGAAGAGTGAAACTAATTAAAACATAATTATTTTCTAATACTATGACCAATCATTTTTTTATCAGTATAGAATTGTGGAGATTATTGACTTACTGACTGAGATCTTGAACCGACTGTGTTAGACCACCATTGAAAACCTGGGAGCACTGGACAGCCGTTTCGTCTTATTGAGGGACTTCTCAGCAGTGCGCACCCACGATCGCGCTCGCGAGATTCGAACCCATGGCCTCCAGTCTCACATGCGAACGCTTAACCTATTTGACCACTGAGGCGGCATCCAACGGTGCTAATGTCCAACAACATGTAAATATGTAGTAAAAATAATGTAATTAAATCTAATTTGTTAGGCGATAAATGTCATTAAATAAAGTTGGGTAGTGACTAATAGGTGAATGTAGGATGCACATATTGTCCAATTTGACAGTTTTCATATGGATTTACTGTATCCCAGTGTTGACATTCACACCAAACAGAGTACATTTCTCTTCAAGCACTCAGGACGTTATCCACTTACCTACTGAGTCAAGATAACCACTAGCTTTTGCAATGGGAATGAATTTTACTTTATCTGTAAGGGTTTAAATTTCCCCGTTTTTAATCTTAAGGACTGAAAATGATCTATCTCTTTACTTAAGAACTTGTGATTTGATAGCACTGTTGAGGTGATCTGCTCAGTGTGGAGTTACGGCGAGAAAAACACTGACCATTTGGGTCCTTGGTATTAACAAGAATAATATTTTAAATACTTACACAAAACAAATATTATTACTGTATTATTGTGTAATTATGTATATTGAATAATTTATTTTGATGAAATGTTCTTTCTTGGTTGATTTTATAAACATGCGGTTGAAACACCAACTATTTATGACCCTTTAAACAAAACAATTATCGTTTTCTATTTATTCAAAGTGTTATTTGATTCATTAATACTTATTGCATGTATCATTTAGTATCATTATGCGAAAATATTGGTAATTGTGTTCATGAATGTTACGTTTAATAGGGATTTTACTCACAAAAATACAGATCTATTAATAACACTCATTTAGATATATTTTTTGAAAGTACAAACATTTATGGCTTACGATTATTATTATTTAAAAGCTATCCAGGTTTCTACTTTAGCAGTCAATGTATTATAAAAAGTCCTTTGATCTTTTTTATTTACACAAGCAGCTAAACTAATAAATATCTACTACGAAATCTATATACGATCCATTAAGGTATAATTTTTTTGTAAAGTATGGCATTAGAAATAAGGCCTGTACACAGTTACAAGTATGTTTGGAAATTCCTAACAAGTAATAACGATATTACTTTATGTTATATTAGGAAACGAACAAATTCTTGATTACAGTTTGAAAAATGAATCCATTTTTATATTCGTCTACAACATTTAATTTCGGATAGATATCAAATCTCTCACAGGTTACAGGTTGTTTCAAAGAAATTATCCGACGTAAGTTACTACTAATCTATGCTGCCTTTGTTTGCCAGTACAGCTCATATAATGTCAAATCTTGTATTCTAGTGTTATTTATTAATCCTGTACACTTGATCATGACTGTTCATTCTTCCCCTCTAGTCTAAGTATCATTTTATCGATGAATATGGACAAGATTTACGTCAATAAAAGTAGTCTGACGATTTTATGATTCTTATCTGATAAATGTTACAAATAAATTAATTTAATAGACTGATTAGTATAAGAGTAACTGATAAAAAAACGATATCATAAGAGAAAGTAAGATCATAAAACATTGATTAATATCTCTATTATTAAGTCGATTTCCAAATTATTTAAACTATAGGTCTAACAGTCATTGAATGTTTTCTACAGTTATGTCATAATAATAAGAACGTGTGTGTAAGAAAAAGAAACAAAGGAGAAGACGAATACAGTATTGTAGTGCGTAAATAATTATTAAAAAGTAAACCATAAGTAATAATTTAAAAAAAAAACAATAGGACGGAACGGCCGTCCAGTGCTTCCAGGTTCAATAAATTCACTTGGTATACTTTACTTCAATCTACCCATTGATGTTTAGCACTACAGTTGATCAGTCACTTATTGGCATATGTATATACTGTGCATATTGCCTCGATATTGCCTTTATTCACAAGCATTATAAGCAAAGATGGATAGTGGCTAAGTGGATAACGTGAAGCGAATGGTAAATGAAGATTAACTCTGAGATGCAGGTACATCCAGCTGACAAGTCCCGAATAGGATGAAATGTGAGTCCTGGATTCTACTGCTAGCCACTATCCACATTTCTTTATAATTTTAAATAGTTTAAATAAAAATTTCCAATGAATTATTTCACCACATAACAGAGTTTGTTTAAATGTACTAATTCTTCTATTAAATTTTCTAATCAATGACTGTCCAAACATTTATATATATATATATATATATATATATATATATATATATATATATTGCCTTAAATTGCTTAAATTTCTTTTAAAATGTCAACCAAGAAAAATTATTAAAAAGAAATAACAGGAATAAAACATAAATTAAAATGTTAATTTCTTTTTATCACGCAAAATATTCATTTCCTATTCAGTAATGAACTTTTGATTTGCTAATTCTACTGATGAATTTTAAGAAATTTTCATCAGAATTTTTATTTGGGTTACTATAAATAAGTAGTTGAATATTTAATTGTTAAAATACAAAATATATACATAATCAGATAAAGGTTTTGTGGAGATTGTAGTAATGTAATAGTTGAATTCATGAGTCAATTGAAGTTAGACCACCATGAAAAATCTGGAAGCAATGGATGGCCGTTTCATCCTAGTATAATCATTATATGCCTACTAGTGACTGTCTCCAAGAGGTAATTCCTGGAGTTCTAGTGAGAAGCAGTGACCAGTGGAGTTCAACTAGATCTGTTGTGAGATAGTAGCTCACTGATGACAATGGTGGACGGTGGCACAATTTCAAGGATTAGTTGAAGTAAGACATTGACACCATTGGATGTCGGCCAGCTCAGTGTTCTAGAGGTTAAGCGTTCGGACGCGAGACCGATAGGTCCTGGGTTCAAATCTTGCGAGGCGGGATCTTGGATGCGCACTGCTGAGGAGTCCTGTAATAGGACGAAAAGGCTGTCCAGTGCTTTCAGGTTTTCCATGATGGTTAAGCTTAAATTGACCAATGAATTCAACTATTAAACTGCAAAAAATATGTTGAAAAAAATCACTCTAGTACTAGCTAAATAATGTTTATGTGTTAAAATACATCAAGCAGTTTGTAACAAGCGTCCTTGATAATTTCTGGAAAAAACGTCAGTGAGACTATAATTTATGGGCGAACCAATCAGATTTATGATGGGAGGTCTTGGATTTTAGCGCGAAATTTACTCATCCATTTGGTTAAATAGCGTCTTGTCATTTTACCTGATGTCAGTTCGTGATGAAAACCCGAAATCTAATTCCTTACCCTAACTGTCAACTGTAAATCATACTTTTTATTCTTTATAACCCTCATTTGGCTCTAGTAAACAGGTGAACATTCACAAAGTCAGTTTAGTATGGCTCAAAGGTCGTCCATAAATTATAGTCTTACCAAAACATCTTTTAGAAACTAGATTCATTGAAAGTACTTCTATCAACAATTGATTTTAGAAATTTTCAAGAGAATTATTAGAAAAAATGGACTATGTTTTCTGTGTCTTGTATCAACATCTAATGTGTATAGCCACTAAGAATCAGAAAGCATCAAACAGTTTTATCATCCTTAAGCAAAGGTGGCTAGCAGTGAAATCCAGGAAGCACGTTTCGTCCTATTTGGGACTCGTCAGATGGATGTACCTGCATCCCAGAGTTAATGTCCACCCTGGAATTCGAACCCAGTACCGTCCGCTTCAAACGCTATCTCTTTATCCACTTAGCTACTGAGTCCTCATAGCCACCTGCTTGTGCAAAGGGGTGAAGTTTAAATTCACTTGGTGTTGTTTTACTTCTATCTTCTCATTGTTATTTAGGACTGCTATTGATCAGTCTCATGTTGGCATATGTGCATCTTGTGCGAATTGCCTCGATATGGAGTTAAAAACCTTGTTACTTAAGGCTATATTGAGGCAATCTGCTCAGTATGCACATATACCAACATGAGACTGGTCAATTGCAATCTTAAAAAGCAATGAGAAGATACAAGTGAAACAACACCAAGTGGATTTAGAGTTTTATCATGTTTAATTTTACCAAATAGTGTGTATTCTTTATTCTGTACGGAATCCATCTGATGATATGTAAATCATGTAATCAGAATACTTTTATTGTCCCATTGGTTTGAGAGTCAGAAGATTAGCACGCAATATCACTGCCCTGAATTATTCACTCTTGGACTTACGTTTGTTACTAACTTCCCCTCTCATCATTCAGAGGTATCTGAAACTGTATATGAGTTGATATATCAGAATTTAGGGTAAATATTATTCAACACAGCACTTTTGAATAGTAGTCTATTTAGGTTATACCGATAACATTTTTATTTCGTAATCATTTAGACATGTGATAATGACATTTTGGCCTTCAATATACACAGGATCAATAGTCTCTATTTCCTTTAAACTTAAGAAATCACCCCTATGTACTGTTTTATCAATGCACAAATACAAACTGAAGCAAATTATATTTTTTGGTAACTTGTGAAATCTTGATATATTTAAAGCATTAACCTCTATATACACCAAGCTATTCAAAAAAGTGACCTAATGTGCATCACTAGACGAAACTCAGAGCAATCGGTTAACTAATATAGTTAAATCAGCAAGTAATTGAAAGACGCGTCAGCAGTGCTAAGTAGTACCTACACCTAGGGACTATTTAAAATGGATATTATAAACAACAAACTATGTTGTATAATAACTCTCATGAAAATTCATTTCTAGAATGATTAAGTGATATAAACAGACTTAATTTTATGCAACATAATCACTTAGTGAAGTTTGGTTCATTTGGTAAGTTTATCATTTCCGGTAAGTTATGCACAAATCGAAAGACTATATATACCAATATAAAATACCATGTAAACAATTTCTGTTCTCCATTAGAGAATTCATTTCTTAATTTACAAGTACAGGAGTATTTCTTAACTAGTTAAACTTAATAACTTGTTTGTAGCTGAAGAGAAAGCAACGAAATACGATGGATTCATTGTATTCTACAAACATTTTATTTCATGGTTAGTTTAAATTTCTGATGATAAATCGCTGAATGAAATGTCGTAGAAGTTAAGTATCATATATGGATTAAAATGTTCGCTATGTTCATGTTCAAAAATGTTACAAAACCTACTAGCAGACTGAAAGTTCTAAACATAAAAACACAACACATCAAATTTGTTTAAATATATATTTCTCCGTAGTAAATGTTACAGACCGAAATTGATCAGACTTTATTAGCAATGTTGAATCATTAGGTTAGTAGATGATGCGTCGGCGTTTGATATGACAGGTATTAAGTTCAAACATAATTGTAAACATCACCAGTGGAATCTGTGTACATCCAATTAATCAATCTCAAATAGGACGAAATATAGGTCCTGAATTTACTTCCTAGCTATTATTCAATTTTAACATAAGTATCACAATTCCATTCATCTTTATCTACTTACCTCGAGTCTTTCTGTATCTGATGTTTGTTTAGCACTTCGTGTATTTCTTCCTGTTTTGCTCTTTCCACTAGATCTACTTTGTTCTTGGTTAGCTAGATAAGAAAAATAACCATAAATAATAAAGTAAACAACAATAGTAGTATTGATACTATTACTAGTCATATTTATTTCAAACAAATGTGAATTTGAATGAAAACATAAATGAATAAGTAAACACTCAATAAAATGAAATACATGCATACTCATTTAAAACAAGATGGTGCATGCTAGACATGGGAATCGTGAAAAACCACTTGAAAATTACCGAAATAAAGCAATAAAAAACTAAGCTTACTACGTACTACTGTTTATACGGTATACTAGTCTTCAAAACCAAGGTTTCATTTTAAAAGACACTAGCTTGCAAAATGTGTCTCCAACCATAAAAAATGGCTTTTCTCGTGAGATTCGAAACTGTGTTATCCAGTTTTATATTTACAGATGTTATTATTTATCTACCTTGGCTACGGATAACTCTCTGTAAAAATGAGATGTCTACACACCAAATAATTTTGTAAGTTATTTGGTTCTGATTGAATTGGGTTAATTTGATTACAGTAGGGTATTAGAATAGAGAAAGCCAACCAGAAGAAAACAATGAACCTTGATTTCGTGCTAATTACATTCGTATCTATTACAACACGAAAAAATTTTATAGCAATTCTTCATACCTAGTTATTTGATCTCAAACTGAACGTTGATCATTGAAAGTTGATTATCACGTGAAATAATGATTAGGATGTACGGTGTATTCATTAGGATGCCTAAACCACCTCTCAATTAAATGACCCTTTGATCACTCATGCATAGAATGAACAAAGTTTTATCAAAAACCTTGAAATTAATGTTGAAACTAAAGTTTTTTTTAATTAATGCATAATATAATCATGATTTCAATATATGATAAGCGTTATACAACTAAATGGATATATTTTTTTACTTTGAAGTTTAGCAATCATTTCTGTAAATTTATTTACCCTACAGGTTGATTACGTAATGCATCTTAGAACATATCCGGTTCCGATCTAAATTAGATTCATAAAATCTAAGTAATCTATTTACAATTCATTGGTCTCTGGGTAGTGACCAATCTCACGTGTACCAGGTCTATCTTAATGCAGGTTGAATTCCATCGACCAAGTTGCAATGTAGCCATTAGTCTAGATGAACCAACATCGTGTGCACTATTTTGAGATGTAAGGTGGTGGTTGGAGGTAGTCAACATTGCAATTTAATCGATAGAGTTCGGTTTGGACCAAGAAAGACCTGATACACTTGAAATGGGTCACTACTCAGTGATCAGTCAACTGTAAATACATCTCAGTCCTACAGGAGGTCAATTACGGCCGGAATAGATTAGTGGTAACGTCTCTGACTGTGAAGCTGGGTGACACGGGATCGAATCCGTCAGGTAGCATCAGTTAATTCAAGATTACACATTGCTGACGAGTACCAAATAACGTGAAACCTAATTCCAGAGTTTCCTATCGACTATCTCCACTCACCACCTTAAATCTATGGAATGAGTTTCAAGTTTAGTTGGTTGGTTGCAGAGAATTATATTTTTGTTAAATTATCTTGAATTGGCTTTACTTCAAATATCATTGAAAAACGAGTGGAACTCGATAGTTGTTTTAGTGAGTTAGAACTTGTGCAGTTCGGTTATTTTTAAAGGTGAAACAGTTATCATCGATGACATCGGATGGTACTTGAGCTACATCACGATATGAATTGAGTTGTAAAACTGGATCATCGGATTCAGAGTCAATAGAAATATTATGCTCATTTTTACATTTAAAAGTTTCCGGCGTGATCCTTGATGAGCTGGTTGGAGAAAGTAATTGAAAATGAAGCAAATATCCAGTTCTTCCTGGTTTCTAGTGCTTCTTCAACTGATCACAGTCGTTTATGCAAATAACTTGCAAAATTAGCTCTAACGAAAATGATTCAATGTATGTGAATAAAATAAATCCCTTATAAAAGAATCTTATTTGCTAACAACAAATAGTGCATATTTCAGATGATAAGATTAATTGAAATCGGCATCTAAATGCTTAATACCTTGGTGTAAGCCAAATGTATTGCGATGTGAACAAAAGATAAAACTAGTTTACAAGTTAAAGTTTTACCTCATGACAGGTTATTTCAGATTTGTAGAATTTTTTAAAATTATAGACATCCTCTACAAAAACAATAATTTATAAATACAAAATACTAAGAATGCTGTCTTTATGTATGCGTATATATATATATATGTTTGTATGTAGGTAAGTAGGTATGTATAAATTTTCAGTTGACAACAGTACAACCACTTTTGGTACTTATTAATGCTGACCAAATAACTTGGAATATTAGACTCACAAAACATTGAGACACGTTGATAATGTTAAGATGTTAATCATATCTAACATATTTAGATGAAATAGTATGATGAAAAAGGATTTTCAGATATCTGATGACAAAACAAGAATTAGAATGAAAGTCGTTTCTAGTTCTGCCTATAATCGGCAAATATAATAATAATAATAATAATAATAATAATAATAATAATAATCAAATACAACGATATTTTTCGAATGAGTGATTTACAACATGGATACATACAAATTTAATAATGTCATCTCATGCAAATATATGACGATATTGATAATCAATAAGTGTATGCCAGTGAATACTACTGCATGCAAGTGATTGAAAATTCTGCTTTTTCCTCACTTATTATAACTAATGACACAATACTACTTTCCTCTTGTATTTTATTCTCTGTTTCACTTTCTTCTATACTCATTTCATCTAAATTAAATTTTAATTTTATTATTACAAATAAAATGAATATGTTCAATCATTTGATTAAATATTATTTTAAAAACTGGGATAAAAGGATGAAGAGGTAGTTGGTAAGACAGAGACAACGAATCTAAAATACGTACTACTTATGATTTGAATGAATTGAATTTGTTATTCCTAAAATGACATATAGTAAGATATTTGAAAGCTTAACAGTTCAGTTGTAATTCATACAGATTAGGACTAAGTCAAATTTGAAACTGTCTATATTTATGGAATTTGAACCATATCGTAGTTTTCAGGTGACCAATCAGTTTTTAAATGTATAAAACAAATATGTAAAATCACATTGTTAAAATTAAGGAATGAGGTAACTCTAATAACAGGTGAAGTAGATCGTCATTACATTTTAGGATATGTATTATACAGGTAGCAGTGGAACCCAGGACAATTGTTTGACGTTCATCAGTTGCATGGACCTGTATCTCGCTGAGACTCAAACAAACTATCTGTAAGTTCATACGATGACATTTCAACTAAGCTAATAAATCCTCATGTCCACTAATCTGACCAACAGACAGCTGATGAATTCAAACCAGGACAGAAATAGCATCCTAGATTCCATCGCTAACCACCGTTCAAGTATTATATAATGATGTACACTATCATTTACAAAATATGACTTCTAAATTATAAGAAAACCGGTTATATATATATGAAGGGAAAGTTGATTGCTAATAATGAGAATTTGTGAATGTAATTAAAGTGATATATTTTCAAAGGCATTCTGAAGTAGTTTTGTAGACCTATTCCGCACCGTGACTCTTGTGTTCATGAACTTATACATATATGATAGTGGTTATTCTTGAAAACAACTTACCTAAATCATCTCATATTCGTATGCGTATGTGTGCATGGAAACGTTGACTTAACAAATAAACTGTTAGTTTTAATTGAGATCATGAACCAATCAAATGTTAGACACCATTGAAAACGTGGAAGCAGTGGACGGTCTTTTCGCCCTAGTATAAAACTCTTTAGTAGTGCGCACCCACAAACCCACACACAGGGCTTGAATCTAAGACCTTCTATCTCACTTGTGAACGCTTAACCTCGAGGCCACTGAGACTGTATCCAACGGTGTTAATATCGAACGTTAATGATATCGCGCGACCCTTTTCAATCGGTAGGATAAGTTTATTATCTCATCAGATGTCTTAATCTCTGTGTTAAATTTATTTTTCTTTACAAATGTATCCATGAAAAATTATCCTCATGACAGGTCAATAGTGTAGAGAAAAATAATTAAAATGCATAGAAAGAATTTCATAGGTAAATGTAGATCAACATGATGAACTTATGAATGATCAGTATAGATTTTATATTTGTTAGATATTTATGATCAAGCGATGCTTGTCAGAGAGTGTTTTATGTTCAAACAGAAATATCAACAGAAACAATAGGAACAAACAGTCATTTTACATAACAATACTCCACATACATAACAATCATTTTCACAGTAATAACTCGATATTCGTAAATAAATAATATGAATATATGATTATGCTTTTAATAATTAAATAGATTGAATCAGCTAATAATAATTCAAACGTTAAACATTGAGATCATTGAATATCGGATTAGTTGCTTAAACGTTAACTGCTTGCTGCGAAATCAGGTCTTGAGTTTGACCCCCAGTATTGTCTTATATTTGCTCTACTCCCACCTATCCAAAGTTCCCTGGTTTTCATTGGTCGTCTAACTAAGATCAGTCTGTAGTGTAAACTATGAAATTCAACAATATCTATAAAAACTCGCTTTATAGTAATAACGATAAGTGTTTACAACAAGACTTATTTATATTAATAGTTGAAAAATGTTGAGTTTTTCAGTTTCATAATAATATAACGAATCACAAACGGTATTTTGGAGATAAACTGTTCGGTAATCTAGTTGAAAATTTTCAATCCTTTCAATACTTTGTATAATCTTTAAGAAATGTAATAAAATTGATTTAACAACTCAATATAACCTTATAAATAGTGCGTATTGAAGAAGTGAAAGAGTTTTAAAATCAGACCTCATATTTATCTTATTCACATTAAGCACTTGACAATAATAAGGATTTCCATCAGGAAACGCAAAGTTGACATATTCTGAATAACATTTTAGAGCTTTGTGTTTAGAAGTGAAATGTTTAACTGAATGCTGCTGAGCAACAGGTTAATGTTTACACTAATGTCATATTTCATTCCGCTATGCTAACAAAAATCTACTTATCAGTTGGCCTAAAATTTCAGTTCCTATGAATCCTCTAGAAAATAAAGCTGAAAGTTTTACATAACACAATATCATTTGTCCAGACTATATATTTTTTCTTAAGAATTCAAGTACTTTCAAGCAAACAATTCAATTATGAATAAGATTTTGTAATTTTTAATTCTTTGCTGATTATGGTACCGACTTTACGCGTAAGAGACGTAGAGTTTGGAAATTTCCGACTCAATTATATTATGGATTTTAATTTGTGAATTATAAAGTTGTACTGGGTCGACCTAACTAAAGAAGAAAGAATAAGAGTAATTTAATAAAGAAATCTGAAGAAAACTTAAGAAAATTAAGGAATAATAAAGTCAAGATTGGTTCAAAAAAAGAAGAAATAACCAAACCTAAAGATATGGAACATAAAGTATAATGTAGAAAATGATTGATTCACAGTGAAGTAAGCAAATTGTGGATAACCATTCTTTTGGAAATATGGAATTTTATGAATAATAAATTAATTAACATGAAAGAAATGACGAATCATGACAAGATATTCGTTAAATTCAACTGCGCTGGACTTTTTCATACATATAATGTACTTCTATTTCATCTGAACCTTGTCAGACTAACCATCAAATATTTTATTCTTATTCCTACCAAGGAAAATTAGGCGAATGGAGTGAATGACTGGATAGTAATGAACTGAAACAACCAAACTTAGTGGATTCACTTATAATTATGACTAAAATGTAATTATTAACTCCATTTTGTTGGCCAATTGTATTACAAAAAGCCGAAATTCGACCAGCTGAAACCATCTCCCCACTTTGCTCATTATTCTTTTACAATGATAGAGTTTGACAATTGAATATATATTAAACATTTCAATAGTTAAGATCATGATTCAATTAAAGCTAGACCACTATGGAAAACCTGGAAGCACTGGACGGCCTTTTCGTCCTATTATGGGACTCCTCAGCAGTGTGCATCCACGACCCCGCCTCGCGAGATTCGAACACTCCGATTTTTTAAATCTAAATTGATGTAATTCTGTAATTTTAACTATTAATATTTCTACTTGATAAATTACTTTTACTACAGTCTAGTTGAATTGTATTCAAAGTATATTTCTTTGTCAGTATTGATTGTAATTGTCTAGATGAATTAGTTTATATTACACCTTTTATTTAATGACTTGCATACAAAACAGTGTTTTTCTAAACTGTCTCAGTTCTCTTTGTACATATATGTATATAAATTGACGGTATAAAGTATTTGTTAAGAACAGAGGTGGAGAGGAGATAAAGAAAATGCTAGACATAAATTTATTGTAAATAGTATAGTTGTTAGGGCAAAACAATTACACGACCTATTTTATAATTTATAGAGAAATTGACATAGGATTAAAGAATTTAGTAGTGATAAAAATGAAACAGGTTTCTCTATTCATAAAATTTGGTTGTTATAAATTTATAATGATTGATTATATTTACATATGTAGTTTCAAAAAGGAATTTTGATAGAAGGAAATATTATTTTAAGAGTATCAATATGTTAGTATTGATGAATAATACACTTAGACTAGTTTTTCTTGTACATATCTTAATCAGATTACAAATTTAGTCATATTTCTTTACAAAGAAATAATCCCAACATATCCATTAGTATTTGTTAGTTTAATTAGATATGAACTGTTCACCTTAGTTGTATTCTGAGGTAAAAACTTTATGATTAGGATCACTTCTATAATGACTTGAGAATTTTATTGACAATTAGTTGTAAAGAAATAAAGTAGTTTTATTGTTTGTATGCTAATGAATACGCTTAGTAATATTTCCTACTACTTTTCCCTTGTTTTATCCGTCTGTTTCAAATTAAGCACCCTATTAATGACATCATTTATAACCACTGGTATCGCTAATAATACAAATTACTTAATTTACTTTGCTGCACTGATGCAATATGTGCTTACTTGGATCAATCCAATATCTGTACAAGTTCTTATGTTGTTTAAGATTTTTCACTGATTGACAAACCGTATGATAATCTTTTAATGTAAATGTAACTGATGACTGAATGAAAATTATTTTACGTTAAATCGGCGAGACTAATTTATGGGTGAGCCAATCAGAAGCGTTTGAGACATTTCAAGGTCACGGCGCCAACTTCAGTGCTTAATGCTAACGTACGGTCGATTCACAAAGAATTTTGTACAAAACGTGATAATTGAGTGGTTATAACAAATAAAACGTTGAGAGTATAATTTGTGGACGAATCAATCAGGTATAAGATAACAAATCTCGGATTTTGGCGCAAAGGCCTTTCATTTTTTTCGGCTAAATAGATTTTCGGCATTATAGCTGATGTCAGTTCGTAATGAAAACTGTTATAACTTGTGGCCTGTGTTCCCTGTTAATGTATAACGTAACGATACCGCCAATTAGAGAACAGTAAATTATCAATCAGGCCAATGACGCATAAAACATGTGCGAGCAGTCTAGAGTCCTGACTTGTCCTGCTTTCCGCCAGGCTCAGCCAGTTGAGTTCAGAACACCAATCTCAGCCACTGCAATATGAATCATGTATTTTAAACATAGGTGTTTATATACCCCGCATCATACCATAAAATATGAAACAACATTTGTACAAGATCTAGCCAAATGTGGCTGTGAATGAGGGAGGTATTGATTAATAGACAGGGCATAATTCAAGAATGGTGAAACGTATAATAATAGTTCATAGGTCAAAATAAAGCTTATAGTAAGAGGAATATGAATATGATGGTTTAGTTGGTTAACAATTATACGATAAAAGTATACGTATAGTATTAGTCCATAAATGGATCCCAAAAGTTACTATTCATTATGCTTATCGGGACCTAACAAAAACCCTATGTATAATTCCTAACTAAGGCAAATTATGACAATTATTGCGAACTGGATAACAAAAGCATCAGTAACACTGGCTGCAGCCACGTGCTACAATATATACGGGTGATTGGAGAGCGTACAGACTCCTATATAGGCTTGGTTATGTGCATCGTGTAGTTATCAACAAGTGGCATTTTATGTACTCAACAACCGGAGTACACACAAACAATATTGAAGCTATGTGGTCGAGGCTGAAAGAGTTTTTGAGACTTTATCATGCTTCCAGAGGCCGACTATTCTGTAGCCGTATGGATGATTTCCTCTACTGCATACATTACGATTTTAAAACCTCTGAACCTCTTCTTAACCTCGACAAGTTTTTGAACCACGTATAAGAAGTGTATCCACTTTATTTCTTTGGTTTTGTATAATATATTTTTATTCTATATTGACTGTTTGCTGATTAGCTAATATTTCTCAAGGTCACTTAAGGTTCGTTCAAAGATCATCCATAAATTATAGTCTCACCCAAGCAGTTACTAAATTTTTTATTGTTGTTTGTATTCTCTGGCATAGATGTTTCAACAACAACTAAACCAACTAGGTTGGAGAGCATAAACAACACCAAAATGTATCTGCCATAGCTGTAAATCATCGCCATCATTTTTGAAAATGACTAAAGCTTGGTTATCTGATAGATTTAATGTAAGATTTAAAAGTGTGAAAAAGTGTTACTGAATTACCTTTTTTAGGTGAATTACTACTATCACTTTTCTTTCCTTTCCCGCCACTTTTATCGTCCTTACTACTATCTATATCCTTAAATAAAATTAAAAACAACTTACAATAAATAAATATGCATAACAGATTAAAATCTTATAGAACATTATTTACCTATATAAAACTTATGATCATTAGTTGATAAATATATTTAGATTTTATACACTTAGTTTCCTTTATTAACGTGAAGAGAACAAGAATGAAGAACTGAGCATCTCCCCATATATATACAGACATCTTTACGCTGAATTCAATAATATAATGGATATGCACTGATGAGGAGTCCCATACTAGGACGAGACGGCCGTCCAGTGCATTCAGTTTTTCCATGGTGATCTAGCTTCAATTGACTCATGATTTCAACTATTGAACTTACTAAAATCTCCACGAAACCCCTTCTAAAAATGAATGAATTGTAACGAAACTGATAAATTTACTTTTAAAAAATATTAGATTTGCATATTTACCGGTTTATCTAAATATTTTTTTCGTCATTCATGCTTCGTGTGGATCTCGACACTTTAAATCAATATGAAAGGTTTATCCTACTTTCTTAATTGTCTTATATTATTAATTAATCGATCGCACCTTTAAAAACGTCTGAGTAATTTGTCTATTGACCTTTAAAATATAAAACTATCTTTAATATTTACAATACTGAAAATGTCCATGATGTGAAGCGGGACAATATATATCAGCGGACAATATTGTTTTTAATGAGATCTTATTCAGACTTCACTCTAATATACAGTAGGATTTATATAGATATATAAAAAGGCTGATGAAGAACTAATTAAGAACAATATTGTGCGCTTATCTAAGTTATTTTAATTTCTGAGATTATTATTGATGAATATGATTTCATGAGAACACTTTTACTCTTTAGTATGGACATAAGAAAAATCAATAATTCTGGGTATGACAATATGTTTGGACAAAATAGACATTCATAGCAGTTGATAAAATATGTGACAAATAAGTAATTGAATGTATTTATATGGATAAATTTTCATTCTTACTAATTGTCAGTACAATTTGATACTTAGGCGGATTTTATTTTCTAAATTATTGTATAGAAATTACTGTGCAAAAAGATATGAATAATCTGTACTTTATTCAACTTTGAATGATTGTAGATTTTTGACTATGAATTGAAAGTAGTCAAAAAAGATACGATCATTTGAGTAAACCATGAGTGGTTTTCAGTGGTTGACTAAGGTCAACTTATAATGCATATTGTAGAATTCAATAATCTCTGTATATCCATATGCAAATGATAATCGTTTTCCTACTAGTAACTAAATATGAAATGCGATTCTTGCAGTTCTAGTGAGAAGCTCTAACCAGTGAAGTCCAACCATTTCAAGTGTGAGACAGGTGTCATGGCCGAAAAGTATCGTAATAATTGAAGTTGGATATACAAAACTTTGGATCCCACTTCAGTAGTCTGAAGTCTGAGTGGAACCTGGAGATCCTAAGTCTAACACTCGATGAGGTTGTGGATATGAACTGCTGAAGAGTCACATACTTGTATGAAACAGCTTTCCAGAGATTGTTAGTTTCCAATGGTAACTTGGATAAGATCAGTTTGTGATGTCAGCTGTAGAATTCAAGGTTAATTATAAGTTCACTTTCAGGGAAGTTTAATCTCAACATATCGGTCTGTAAATGGAAGAAAATAAATCTAATTTCCTAAAACTTTCACATTAAGAAATCTCAAGAAAAAAGCTTGCTGAAATTTTGTTAGATTAATCATATGCTTAAAATTTAACCTAAAAAAAACAAGCAACTGGAGCTTAAAGAGATATCAAGACCAGAAAAAATATCCAGCTGCAAACAACGGCTATCAGAACAGACTAATTTAGTATATATGTAATATTTAATAAGCTCATTTACAGTTGAAGTAGAGGCTAATAATATAGTCCATTACGACAATAAAAGCTTTGTAATCAAGCCATTTAGCTCACAGAACGCGATATTGTAAAAATAATGATGGATTTTTATAAACCATGCCGACCTAAGTATTGAATTCTGTCTTATTTACATAGAATTCTCCTATCTTATTCATTTTAGGATTAACAAAATATTGTATTATGATCAGCTGATTGTACTTTACAAAGCTTAATTTTTACATTTTTCCAAACAGCAAATATTTCCGGTCAACAGAATAATTAAAATTAAAATGAATTAAAATCATCAATAAGAACATAGAGGGAATAAAGTTCAGTTTAAGGTAATAGGTTTCAATGTTGCTGACGAATTACTAACGAATTAACCAAAAACAGTGACTTCTCGAAAGAACATAGAACTATCCTTTGTTCAAGTTTGTTTAATTTGAAATATATCGTATACAAAAGTCAACAATACTTGATGTTTATTTCTGATATGACGCCAAAATGGAAATATTTTCTGTTTAGCCACGCTATACTACGATGGTAAAATAATAAGATCGGTGTCCGAGGTTATACTACCACAGGACAGGATACTCCATAGGTACACTACACCCATACTGAATCATCCTATACCAGAAACAAGATTCACGACCAAAGAAAACTGGAGTACAGACTAGGAAATATTGTATTCAACACCATTATGAGCAGTTCACGCTCCGTGAATCCACAGTAGAAATTGATCATGTGAAGTAAATCATGTACTAAGTAGCTAGTGTCTGTCAGTCCACGCTCAGTGGACAATAACTTATTGCTTTCACTACCCCACACCAAGTTTATCAACCGATTATGCAGTCGATACCACACCCAATACAAATGAGTATCAACACTTTGTTAACATCATGATAGTAAATTAAATGGACGAAAGCAACACAGGCACAAGGCACAATATCAGTAAAAACAAAATATGAAGAATATAATTTAAAAATTACGGTTAAAAATAATGAATAGAGAATATAAAGCAATGCCATAATTTAAGATATGGAGGACTATATATATGTCACTGCAATTAATTTTCAAGACGTGTTACATTTGGTTGTTTCAACTATTAATTCCCTTAGTGTTTTTGAAGTACTTTCGAAGCGTAAAAGAAAACAAAACCTAATTGAACCTTTCCTAATATTTTTCTATTCGTCTATTAATGTTTAAGTAATAAGGAAGTATGTAAGCATTTACTTCTAAGAGGATGAAACAATTCTAAGTGTAAAGAAATCGTGTAGTGGAGCATAATCCGTTGGCTGCTGTTAAAGTGTTGGGTTGTAATTTTTTCTTAAATCGAAGTTTGATTGTGAAACTAGATTCAATAGGACTTTACAAATATTAAATTATTATCAGAAAGAGGGTTTTGTGGAGATTGTAGTAGTTTAATAGTTGAACTCATGAGTCGATTAAAGCAAGACCATCAAAGAAAACCTGGAAATCAACTATTAAATATTGAACTGTATAGCAACTCAAGGTCTTAGAACTTAATTTAGTTAAATCATAAAATAATTAATATCTAACAGGAAAATAACTTTGGTTTACCTTAGCATTACGACCACGAACAGATTTGTCGCGTTTCTTTGCACCACTTACACCTTGTGTGGATTCTTTCGATGTGTCACGTATACTGGGAGATGCTTTAGATTTACGATGTCCTGGTGGACTCTGAAGAACAACCAAAATAGTCAAGAAATAACGGAAAATATCACTAATGACAACTTCAAGAAATAATAATTAGTTTTGATATAGTCGGTAAAGTGGACAGTCGTTAGTATACATAATCAAAAATATAATCTAAATTCGTCCCAAACTAACAATCTATGGAATACATAGATAATCAGGTATAACATGAAAAATTACCAGTTTTCTGTTGTACTGTACATTGACAGTCATCAGTAGTATGAAAATTACGTTAAATTCAGAACCTAAAAACCAACCATAAAACTTCATGGTAAACGAGTTATTCATAAACCATTAGATTTTAATCTATTTACTGCCAACTTCAAGTACTCAGTAAATGATTCCTTAAGAAAAATTTCGAATATAATCATAAAGCAACACTCATTGTTAGTTTGTAATATGCCAATAAGGAATTAAAGGACTTTACACTGAAAACTAACTTCAAAGTTGAAGTAACAGATATCTATTATCTTCTATAACTATGAAAACAACAGTATTAGTGATCATACCCCATTAATAAATGAATTAACCACAACTTTTTATTACTGTTTAAAGACAATATTCGAGAAAGAAAACTAGCTGGATTAGTATACAGTTACTGATTCAACAAGAGTATTGAATTTTGCAACTAAATAAGTCAATATTTTTATTTTTTTTTTAACGTAAACTAGTTGTATTACTACAACTCAAATTTTCATCATCTTATGACAAAACAATCTAAAACTCATACAGTATTAGGCATAAAAAATGTATTTTACCAGATACATGTATTTTAACTGTATGTCAGTGTTTGAATTATTCTAGGATACATTTAGCAATCTATACATACTTGATTATTTCATTTAATAATGTTTATTTTACTTAATAAGAATATTTCTCAATAATTATTAGGAAATAATTTTCATTGTTGAATCCATGAGTCGATCTAAGCTAGATCACCATTGAAAACCTGGAAGCACAGGGACTCCTCAACAGTGCGTACCTACTATTCCATGAATAGATTTTGTGGAACTTGAACTCAGAACCTTCGGTCTCGCGCACAATTTTTTTAACCTCTAGACCACTAGGCCAGTATCCAACGGTGGTTGAGAATTACCTACAAATTGTTTGGTAATAACTAATATAGTGTTGTCTAATGTTTTTAATGTTGATTGTATTTAATACATTAAACAACATGTGATCACCAATCTATATAACTCGATACTACTGACAAGTGTCGATTAGCCCAGTAGTTAGATCCAAGACTTGATAAACCTTATCTTCAGACATTTGATTTAGTTCAGAACATCTTAGGCAAATATTTTAAATAATTTTTAATAAAATGTTTAGTTCCTTAATTTTAATACTAAATTTAAATTTATAAAATTACTTGATAGATTGCATTATGAGACTAAATCCATAATATTGACTTTGTCCAACGAAATTTAAGTGAGTTTTCTAGAAATTTATTTGATTATCCACTATTTTTCTAATATATTTCTTCTGATTACATTAAAATCTAATGAGGGTGGTTATGTTAACAGATATATATGTGCTATATCCTAGTGAAGATTAAATTGCAGGTAACTTCTGAGAACTATTAATGGACTAATATTATATATATGTATATATTCTTATTGTATAACTATTCAGTAACCAGATTATGCATATTTATATTCCTCTTATTGTAATGTTCATTTTGACTTATAGACTATTATGGTACGATTTAACATTCTTAAACTATACTCAGTTTATTAAGTACCGTCTCCCACGTTCACAGCCACTTTTTGGCTTGAATTTGTATGTTATTTCCTATTTTATGGTGTGGTTTGCTTGGCCGGTATATAAACCGAGTATGTTTTAAATAAATGATTCGCATAGTGGGAAGGGTCATTGGTTTTCTGGGCTGAACCGGAGGGGCTAGGAGAACAAAGGACCAGTAGGGATGCTAGGCTGCTCATACCGGTCGAGCGTCTTTGGTTTGGCTCAGTACTAAGTTTGTATAGCTCGTAGTTCGATTGGCAAATAAACCACGTGATAATTAGATGGACTTAAAGACACAATAATATGCATACTTAGGACATTTGTCATTAAGCATTAAACTTTATACGTTCATCAAACCACTAAACATACATTATGTTTATTTTTTATTGCTCCTACAATTACAGTTTCATAATCTTGTTTCCCATTAATGAATTAATCATTTTATGTTATTTTCAAGTATAGTAATGCAATCGATAAATCAGTTCGGGTTATGAGATAGGAAGTTCACAAAAATTATTCAACCTGTAGATAATCTTCATTATGGATTAATATCACCTAGGGGAACAATGAAGTACATATAAATATGGTACTAAATAGCTATTAAAACTAAGCCTGAAAAACATCTCGGTTATCCAGTTCAAGACTTTTAGATGTTTTGACAACCACAGTACTTTCGACAATTAAATCAAAAACCAGTAGACATTAGTCCATAACCTAAAGCATTTATTACTTCATTTTAGTTTATCAGTTTGTAAATCATTTACAAATATGAGCGTAATTTATAGTCTGACAACATAACAACACTACACTTTTGTCAAAATATTTCTAATCACTTTTTCAAATACGATCCATGATTAATTTAACCCGAGAAATTACTTAGGATGTGATTCACTTGGTAATGTTTTGCTTGAATTTTCTCATTGCAGTCCTAAACAATACCAAGTGAATTAAACTTCACCCCATTGCACAAGTAGGTGGCTGTCAGGACTTAGTAGTTAAGTGGATAAAGTGATGGCGTTTGAAGCGAACAGTATTGGGTTCGAGTCTCAGAATGAATATCAACTCTGAGATGCCGGTATATCCAGCTGACGAGTCCCAAATAGAACGAAACGCGCGTTCTGGATTCCACAGCTAGCCACTATTCACCTCTACTTATAAATTAGAATGTGAGTTCAAAATACAATGGGAATGCCTGTTTACTCTAGTAACATTTCTGAAGTATTTTTGTACTTTAATTTGTCGTTAACATGATATTTTAGGTTAGTTGTTTGGTGGTAGTATGTGCAATCTACAGGTTTAAATATACTGAATCATTCAGCTAATGAAAAATGAATAATTTAATTTAAAATATTAAAATCGTTTTTGTTTTCATTAGGAAATAATTCATTTCTTGTTAAACTAAGCTACTAAATCACCGAAAATAGAATTCATAAAATGTAGATTCTTAAAAGTTCATCTTTTGTTTCATCTGTCTTTTATGTTGACTTTTTTTTAATCTTTCAAATGTTACACAAATTAATGAATTTTATTGTAATTAGTGTCCCAATCAATTATCATATTAATCCTTCATTCATAGAAGAAATCACTTTCGATACAGAAATTTTCTTTAATTAAAACTAAATAACATTTTCGTAGATTCATATCAAATTCTTTAGCTTGAAAAGTAATTTCATATATATATATCACTTGATGTTGATGTAAAGTATCAACTGAAATTGAAATGCATATTACTATATAATAAGGACAGTGAAATTGGGAAAGAACCAAATAATTTTCTTCATACAATACACATCTATACTGGGGGGAAAAGATGATGGATATAGATATAGGTATATCGTTTAATAAATGTGACTTTGTTGTTTATTTACAATGAAGAAATAGAATCAATAGATGTTAACCTTGAAAGAGTATGGGAAAAGAAAAAGAAGAAGTAGATTACAAAACACTCTTCACGTGATAAATAAAAGATTTTAATTTATATTTTATGGAAAAAATTCGAGTTTTCATTTATTCCGTTAGTATTATTTGAACAAACTTTTGATGACTATTAAATGAATAAATTATCTAGGTTAAGTAATGTTGACATCATTTCAGATAATAGCTTCCTAGAATAATTTAAGAACTTTAAATGATCTACCTAAGTTCAACAGTTGAGATCATGAGTCAATTGAAGCTAAACCACCATGGGAAATTTGGGAGCAATGGATGGCCGTTTCGTCCTTGTATGGGACTCCTCAGCAGTGCGCATCCACGATCCTGGAGTTCTAGTGAGAAGCAGTGATCAGTGGAGTTCAACCAGGTCTGTTGTGAGATAGGAACTCACTGAAGACAATGATGGATTTGTCACTCAATTTTGTGGATTAGTTGAAGTTAGACGATGACACCATTGGATGTCGGACAGCTCAGTGGTCTAGTGGTCAAGCGCACGCGCGCGAGACTGATAGGTCCTGAGTTCGAATTTCGGGAGGTGGGATCGTGGATGCACACTGCTGAGGAGCTGTCCAGTGCATCCAGGCTTTCCATGATGGTCTAACTTCAATTGACTCATGATCTCAACTGTTGAAATTACTACAATCTCCACAAAACCCCTTCTGATCTATTTAAGTATTTAAACTAACATACCATATAGAACGTAAAGACAGTTTATTTAGCCACAACAAAATAACTGATATTAGGCTGGATTCGACAATGAGTGAAATGAACTATCAGTTATAATACTTGCCTTTCTACTTATAGGATACAAATTCAAATGACATTTCATCTACTCAGGTTTTGTGATCCAAGATCTGACTTCAGGCAGATCATTTGCTGCTTGTTATCGAAATATACATATCGTCAATCCTCGTAAACAATTATCGACTTAACTCGTGTTGGTGAATAATGAGATTAAATAAGTCAAATACGAGAATGAATTTCGAATACGTATTTTTCATACAGTCATTGATCCAGACAAGCGATCGAAGAAACGAAGCAAATAAAGGGAAGGGAAGGGAGTGAAACGAAATGACTCGCAATGGAGAAGACATATAAGCTAACTTGATCTAACCAAGCGTGGATCGATATTTATAGTCGGGCAAAAATAAGTTACAGACATGCGATGAGTAAAATAAGAAATGTACACCACAAACTTACATAAAACCTGTCAATGTTAATAAGCTAATAATTAACAAGGTCAAAATGTAGCTTGAGAAGAATGAATAAATTGATTTGTCCAGATGCTAGAATAACTTATGTGGGCTTGA